TCAAATGCAGATATTAAGTAAGATTCTATACAGTTTAAAAAAAAAAAAATTATCACACATAAATAATATTATCATAAGTATTTCTATGAAGAAGTATAGACATGAATGATAATATTAGACTGAAAATGTTTTTGAAAATTTTCAGATAATTCAAGTTTTCTGTTATGATGAAAAATCAATTATCTATAAGACTACTATTTGTTTATTCTGTATGAACTAGAAATAAATAGCTGATATCTTTTACAGTAGAAAAAAAATCAGTAATTGTCTTTTAGAGCTTTGATAGTCATTTCATGATTACTTCAAAATCCTTTGAAATTTCAGAGGTGAAGGATAAGGGCTCTTACGCAAGGATAGTACAAACGATACTCTCTCTTTCTATGATATTATAATAAGAAAATTTTGATAAGAGCTGTTATTTATGATATGGGTGGGTGTGAGTGTTGATGTCTGGATAGATGTCACTGTCGAGGTAAAAAGAACATCCATATATCATGAAAAAACAGTTCTCGAAATTTTCTTATTATGATATTAATTGAATAGAGTACGGAAAAGGCTTTTACTTTGCACATCTCTAATCTGAATATGTTCAATATTTCAGTAGTTAAATATAATAAGTATTCCTCCCTTCTTTCCGAATATGAATATCAAAATTTTTTCAATTCTTTTTTTGTATTATTTTCCATTGATGCGCATCTTTAGAGTGTTCTCTATCGATCTGCAAAATAAAAAGTATTTTGACTTCGAAAAGAGCGATTTTCGAGATCGACTACATCAAAAAAAAAAGTGGATTTTTTACTATTTTTTTTCAAATTACTTTGTCCTCACTCTATTTTACTCTCAGTTTGTCGACATGGTAAGAGGTCTCAAGCTGAAGCTTTTACTCCATGTACTAGACATGATTTCGCGTAGGAATTTTTTTTTTACTTCAAAAAATATTGCTCTAGTTATTTTGTGTAGCTTTTACTAAATTTTTTCTTGTAAAAACAAAAAGAAACAATTGGTTTTCAGATTGTATCTAGTATTTTGGTTTTTCTATTCAAAGATGTAAGAAAAAAAAATTCATCCCAAACAGTGCCCAGTACCTGTCAAGAAGGTTTATAGTTTCATTGAATGTAATATCTGAAAGAATGATTCGTTATAATCTGAAAGCATTCAGAAACCTAGGAAAAGAGGAGAGTCTTCTTTCAGCATGCAATTATACATTTGTATACTTCAATGGTATTCGTATTTTCGTTAAGTTTTAGTTATTTTCTAATATCTGAAATATTTTCATAGAAATGAAAACTTTCAAATTTTGTTTTTTTTTGTAATTTTAAACTATTTTATTATTTTTATTTAATAGAAATTTAGTACCAATGTTTCTTAGTACAATCTATGCACATGATCCAGTTGCTTCATTACTTAATCTTGATTCAAATACATTAAAATTTGCAAATCCAATGTCAGTATTTTATTTGGATAGTCCATCAAAAGAATTAGTTGAACAAATTGTTCAAGGTTCACAAAGATTAACTGCAGCACAAGTACCTGAATTTGTTGGACTTGCTGCAACTGTTCTTAAAAAATATAAAGCTCGACAAGAAAATAAGAAAGATGCTCATATGGTATGTTCACCAATTTTTTTTTCTTTTATGAAATACGATCTAAAAGGAGTATTGCAGTATAAGATCACATTATAATATATATGAACTATTTCTTTAAGTACATTTCAAGAGAATTAAATGAAATGATAATGAAGAAATTTGTCCAAAAAGGAGATAGAATAAAATCTGTGATTAACAAGTCTTGTACAAGGATTGCGCTAATAATCTTTTGTTTTTTGAATTTTTCTTTTTAGAAAATTAAAGATTTTCAAAGAGCTATTTCAAAATTTTTAAACAATCCTACTAAAGATAATAGTCAAGCTGTAACAGCTACATTATCTGCATATGCACAATTAGGTTTATATGATGATCAAGTACGAAATTTAGCTTCTAATGATCAAGCACCATTAGAAATTCAATATCATGCACTTAATGCTATTCGTCATATGTGTGATCATTATATTGATGATAATAATGAATTAAAAATTCGAACTGATCTTCAAAATCTTTTATTACGTAAACTTCAAAATAAATCAAATAAAAATGCTGTACGTGTATGGGCATTTGAAGCATTATATACACCATTTATTTTCAATCCAGAAGAAAGTGATTCAACATTATCTGATGATTTAGAAAAAGCACTTTCAAATATTCTTAATGAACCACTTAATCAGGTAAACAAATTAAAATTCAATATATAATTTTTCTTTTTTTCTTTGTTTACATCTAAATATAGGTAAATGGTTATATTTGGTCAGTATTAAAATATTCATCACTTAATCGTCTTTGTCCATTACGTGGTCTTGCTGCTCGATTACGAGATCATCATGATAATAAAAAACAATTTTCTGAACAAGCAACATTATCATCACGTCATATTGAAGTTGAATTTTTACTTCGTCGAAATTATCAAGCTGTTATTCATTTTAGTGTTGTATTTGAAAATGATCGAGCTGTTCCATCATTTATTTCAGCTAAACTTGCATTTGATGGTGTTCGACGTGAAACATTACGTTTACCATGGTTTGATGGAGCATTAATTATTGAAAATCTTGATTGGAATGTTGCTGATTATTTCTTACGATTAGATCCATTAAATACTAATAAAAATGTTGATGATAGTTATAAAGAAAAAACAAAAAATAATTTACCACCTAATATAAAACGACTTCAAAATGTAAGTTTAATATGATTTGATTTATTTTTCTTTTTTTTTTACTAAATTTTATTTTCTTATTATTATAGACTCATGATCAAAAAGAAGAAGATCCCGATCCATCTGTTCATCTTTATGTTAAATTATTTGGTGCTGATATTCGTTCACGTGATGTTACAGATAAAGTTCAAGATCTTCTTCGTAGTAATATACGTACATTTGTTCGAAATCAACTTTTAAATAGATTAAAAGAACTTGCTGGAAAAACTCCCCTATTTCGTATACCATTAGAAATAGGTGCTGCATCGGCAGCTGCAAATGGTTTAACATTATATAAAGCTGCTCAAATTGGTGTACTTGCTGATTTAACAACAGATTTTAAAGATACACGTGATAGTAATGGTTTAGGAATGTTTCGATTAAATAGTCGATCAGCGTAAGTATTCATTTCTCTTTTTTTGATTGAAATTATTGAATATCTTTTTATTTATTTATTTTTTTTGTGAATGAATTTTTTTTTAGATTGAGTTTTTCATTAACACTTCAACGTGAAGTATCATCACCATTGACAACTATTGGTGAAACAATTCAAATTGGTGCTCTATCCAATGTTCCATTTGAATATTCAATTGTAGCAGAAAAAGATGGACGAACACGTGAATTTAATCTTCCTAATAGTCAATCAACACTTCTTGCTACTGAGTAAAGTTTTTCTTTTCTTTTTGTGTACTCAAAAAGTGAGTACACTCTAGAATCGGTCAGTATGTCCGTCCGTCCGTCCGTCCGTCCGGCCGGCCGGCCGTTAACACGATAACTTTTGAAAGGAGAGTCCAATCGCGATGAAATTTTCTACACAGTTCAGTCTTATCAATGTCTCGGTCGAGTTCGAAGATGAGAAGAATTGGCTGAACCATTCCTGAGTTATTGCAAAAATACTCATTTTTTCCTATGCGAAAACTGACCCATCTTGGCTTTCGTAAACAACTTTTCCTATCATAGTTAAATAAAACCCCAACTATTATATACCTTTCGATAGAGAATTTCACGAGCTACAAAATGGTATATAAAACATAAAGTAACAAGAAGGCTAACTCACCTATTACAAAGATAATTAAAGGGAAATGGGTTCCGCTTTTGTCCACGATCTAATTGACTCACAATTCGAGCTCTATCTTCCGATCATAGAGTTGATACTTTGAGGTTTTCTGGGGCGGAGAACTCGAATCCGTACTCCATTTGCCTCGAAATATTATTGGTTGAGCAGTGACCAATAGAAATCAAGTTATAGGAAAAAACGACTTTCTTAGGGTTAATCAAGGCGAAGAGTTCAAATTTGAGCTCTATTCGCCTCCAAGCCCTATTGATGGACCAATAGCCAGCAGAAATAAACAGTTTATAGGAAAGGTTTCCCAGTATAATTTTGATATCCACATATTCTAGGATGACTCATCGGTCTAATTCACTTTTTGAAGTACACATAACTCTCGGATTTAAATCCGAAGTTTCCGCATTTATTACATGTTGATATTAATTTTTTTGTTTCTAGTTTTCAATATTCATTACGTACATCAAATGGTCTTAAAGTTGTTCCAAATCCTAAATCGGCTAGTATCGATCCATCATGTACATCAAACATGGTTTATTATGCATTTGGTGTTCGAGCATGTTTAGAACTTAATCCATTCCGTTCAATTCAACTCGGCACTCGACCAACATATCCAATGACTGTAAGATTTTCATTTGTATATTTGTAAGAGATGTACGAAATCAAGACTACGAGAAAAACAAAAATATGGATTGTTCGAATAGGAACTAAAAATTAACAAATGAATTGAAATACGAATAGTCAAAACTTTCTTCAGATTTAATGCGAACACATATCTGTTATCGAGATACATCTATATGATTACACATTTTTAAAAGCATCTTTCATAAAAATCAAAATCCTAAAACTATCGATGAAATCAAGAGCATCAACAAGATTGTAGAAGAAAGCGATTGTCCATTGTTGCAAAGATTAATAAGCAGAACAAATTGATCGTATAGTTTTGCGAAAGAAAAATTGAACAACTAAATTTTCTGCCGAAAATTCAGTTATAACATATGAACTTTTTTGAATAGTAGATTTTGTTTTCTGATATTTATTATATCAACCAGGCCTCGAAACAGATCACTCGACCCGGCCCAACGATTTTATCCTTTTTCAGGGTCATAAAAAAAGTAGCTCGATTTCGAGGCCCCGTACTAACTGATGCATTGTGAAGGATCCAAGAATGTCTTCTAGAGACATTCGACAACAAAATAATGTTGTAGTCAAATTCAATTTCGACTTTATTTCATGTTAATTGAACGTTCAGCAAAAAATTTAGTTGACTTCGTGATGAGGCTTTAAAAATCACTCTTCTAAAATTCCCATCCAGTCTTTTAAATTGAAACTTCAATCATTAAATATTTGATTTTATTCCATATAGATAACTGTTAGTAAAGATGCATCAATTAAAAAATGGCGTGTTGGTTGGCGTTTTAATGCTCAAGATGCTCCACAATATGAAGTTGCTGTAGAAAAAGTTGGTACAACTGGAACATATCCTGGTATATATATATATATATTAATCAAAATTCTTTTATATCAATACAACAATTTTTTGTTTTTATTTTTCTAGGTTTAGGAGTTTCTGCAACAAAAACTGGCAATCAATTTGATATTAAAGTTTTAACAGGCATGAAATCTTTTACTGTTAAAGGTGAGAAAATAACACAAAAAAGAAAGAAAACAAGATTTTTATTTTCTTTTATAATAATAGGTACACAAACTGGTAATAAATTTGAAGGTACAGTTTATTCAAATGATAATAAACAAGTTATGACAACATCTGGTACATTAACTATAAATAATGATGGATTTAAATTAGATAGTAAACTTTTTGATATTTCAAGTAAAAAAGAAGTTTTAACATTAAGAACTGATGTATTACCAAATCGTGGAAATGGTCTTACAACTAATATTGATTTAGTAACAACTGATAAATCGAAATCAGTTAAAATTCATTGTAAGTTTTATTTTCAAAACAAAAAAAATTCTTTAATTGTATTATTATTATTTTTTTTTCTTATATTTAATTTAGTTCGTGGAGATTTATATAAACCAGATTCAAAACTCTTTCATATTGATGGAAGTTTTAATCTTGGTGATATAATGTATAATGGTAAAGCACATTTTGAATCTGATAATGCTCATACACGTATTGAATTACGTCGTTTAATTAAATATGGTAAAAGTTCAGCACAAAGTGGTCATGATTTTGTTTATGAACGTAAAAATAATGTAGGAAATGCACAAAATAATTATAATATAGCATCACATCTTTCATTACGTACACCAACACGTGATGAACCAATGAAAGTATTTGATTTTAAAACAGATTTTACTCGAACAAATGATTTATCAAATGCAACAATTCAAAGTTCACTTGATTTATTACTTATGACACGTAATCCACCAGTACAAGAAAGAATTGAATTTGATTATATGAGAAAATCAATTAGAAAAAATAATCAAGCAAGAAGTTTAATATCACCTGAAGGAAATTTAAAAATTCAAGTTAAAACAAAATCAAATGTTTTTAATTTTCTTTTGGATCATCAACATCGACGAACTGCAGAAGCATCGAAAAAAGGTTTGATATAGTTTTTTATTTAATTTGACAAACTTCATAAACAAGTTTTTTCTTTTTTTCATATATATTCTAGTGAGATAATCAGAAATATGAGGCTCAGACTTAAGGATATACAGCGCTGGTGTAAACATTGAAATATTGAGCGTGAGTCATCGATTACACTGACATACGCGTTCACTACAATATTGAGACACTAACTCTATCAAAATATGCTCTATTTGTAGCAATATGTGCGAGTGCTTCAGCGAACATTGGTGGCAATGCATCAGCATACTCATGTAGACAGTATAAACTGATGATACTGAGTCGGTGATGTTGGTAGTCAGTAGATTGAAATTGCGCATCTCTACTCGATAGAAGCCGTCGAATTAGTTCCGAATCGGGACCGATGAGCTCTAATCGTTTGCGAAATGTATAGGGTGTACTAGTCACTGAATACACAAAATGATCTTGTATCTTCGACGCGACTATCCAATTTCGATCATAAAATTTTATTGAGAATATCAAAGTACAATTCGACTGGATCTGGAAATTTCTAATCCAACACGCTCTACTATTCAGACTTCTAACTATGTCTGCGTAGGCTCAAGCCTCCTCTACCTCCCATCTAGTTATGTCACTAGTATTTTCTCACTGCAAGTCTTATTTAATAGATTGGTAGTTCCTTCATATAGAAGTAACAATTTTTGAATATACGAACTACTAATCTTTTTTGTCTTTATTACAAATTAAACAACTATACTAATTTGCTTTACATTTTATTAATAATGTATGAATAAATTCAATAATTTCTTTTTTTTTCTTTTTTCTAGGACCTGTAACGTTTCCACCAACATTTAATATTGCTAATAAGATTCATATCAATGCTGATACAGATAAATTACTTCCTGATATTCCACGTCCATTTGCTTTTGATATTTTATCTGATCTTGATTTTCAATTACTTAATGAAATTAATTATAAATTTCAATATGAATGTCGTCGTCGTCAAGCTTCAGGATCATTTACATATCATGCTCAAGTTGATAAAGTTACTGATGGTCATTTATTTTCTGGTACAAGTAAATCTGAATTACAATGGAATAATAAACAAAATAAAGCAACATCAATGGGTAATTTTGCTATTTGTACACATTCACGTTCATTAAAAACACATTGGGATATAAATACAAATCTTGTTCAAGATCGAAATGATATGGAACTTGATATGAAAATACGTTTTGATCGACAACCTAAAAAAAGTTCACCAAAATCATTAATTATGGTATATGATATTAAATTAAAAGCACCTAAACATCAATCATTTCAATTAATTGATATTGATGGTAATTTAACAAGACAAAATGGTAAATTAGAAACATTTAATTCAGTTGCTTATCGTGTTGATAAAAATTTAACTGAAATGAATTTAAATGCTATAATTAATCGTAATCAAACTGGTGATGGTACATTACAAACAAATATTGTTTTATCATTACCATTTAAATATTTACCATATATAACACATTCATTAAAATTAAAACGATCACCAACAGATCAACGTACAAATTATATTGAATCAAATTTAATTGCTAAACCAGTTTTAGCTCATTATGGTTCAATTAATATTGATCGTACAGAAGATAATAAACGACCATGTGTACATATTGAAAATGAACTTGAATATTTACGTGGTAATGGTGATAATTTACATGGTAGATCTGTTATTGATGTACATCGTTGGTCAAAATTACATTCATCTGGTGCATTAAAACGTAATACTGATTTATTACATAAACATTCAATTGGATATATATTTTCACGTAAAACACGAAAAGTTGCTTTATCATTATTAAGTCCACAATTATCAGGAAATCCATTAAGTATTATTGGTGAATTAACAATTGATCGTGAAAATCGTATTGGAAAATTAAAATGGCCACAAGAATTTGGTGTTCATCTTGAATTTGGTACACCATTAACAAATTTAACTGCATTTCATGTCTTCTATAATTTACCAATGTTTAATAAAGATTCAGAGACAAGAGTTGATGGTGCTCTTGGTTTTAAACTTGCTTCACCGGTAAGAGGACAAATCATTCACACCTTTATTCTCACAGAGGATTGTACTGACAATTTTGTTTTTTTTAATTTTAAATAGAGACTTATTCCAATAAGTTTCTATGTCAAAGGAAAAGGATCACTTGATACAACTCTACGTATTACTAAATCAATGAAAGTCGGTGATGATATAGCATTAAGTACATCATTAACAGCTGCATATAATCCTCAATTAATAAGTCAAATTAGTTCAACAACCAGTACAAAATTTCATGATAAAGAATTTCAAAGTTCATTTTATGCTCTATTTAAACAACATCAATTTATTGTACGAGGTATGTTAAATACAACAGATAATCAAGATTATAAATATGAAATGAATATTGGTTTTGATGATAATTTACTTACTGGACATACACAACGAACTGATGGTCAACAAACAACTGTATCAGATATTGATACTAAAAAATGTACACCAACTGGACAATATAATCGTTGTTATAAAGGTGATATTACTGTTCAAACAGGCAATAATGCTGGAAGAAAAGGTACATTCGATGTTAGTTGGGGTCTTGGAACAGCTAAATTAGATGTTAAAGTACCTGATCAAGTTGAACTTAAATTTGATCATACACATACTGGACGTATACGTGATGAAGATTTTAGTTCAAAAACAATGATTCAAGGAAAATCATTACGATCAGATAATAAAGGTTCATTTAGTTATTCCGGTTCCGTTGAAAAAGATGATGGTAGATGGAATAATATACAAGTACAAACATCATCAACAGATATGAAAACAGGACAAAAATCATTAGCAACAAATATGCGTTTAAATCAAAAAATAACTGATAAATTATCTGGACAATTTCAACGTAAAATTGATGTTAGTCTTGAAAAACAAGGTAATTAAAACAAAAACAAAAACAAACAAACAAACAAAAGAATTTTAATTTTAAATTTCATATATATTTTTAGGTTTAACTCTTATTGATTGGTCAAGTGAAGCAGTTAATTGTAAAGATAATCCAACAAATGTTCTTTCTGGTATTTGTGAAACAGCAACATTTACTACAAAATTAAGTAATGTATTAGCACAACGTCTTCGACAACGTCTTCAATTACCAACTGATTCAAAATTATCAAATCCAACTGGTCAAGTTACATATGATGGTACAATGAAATTAGATGTTAAATTTGATCCTAAATTAGGTCCACATACATTTACACTTGATTTAAATCGTTTGAAAGAAGATGCTGTTGATGTTAATATGGTTTATCAACCACGAAATGATAATCAACCAATGAATCTTGTTGTTAAAGCTAATTTTCCACAACAAAATCCAATATCAATTAAATATGATGAAACACGTCGTTCACAAACAAATTATCGTGGTGTATTAAAATATTCATTTAATGCAAATGATAATTCAGCTGAAAAAACTTATCAATGTGATGTTGATCGACCAGATCCAATGGATGTTTCAGTTAATTGTCAAGGTGAACGAACAAAATTAACAATTGATATTGATCGTAAAGCAGGAAAATCAAAAGTTTATGTTGATTTAAATCGATTTCAAGGTGAACGTATTGGATATGAAGGTGTACTTAATCCACAAACAAATGAACTTGATGCTACATTATATACATTAGTTACATCATGGAATGTTAAACGACAACCAGGAAAATCAACTGTTATTACTGTTAAACAAAAAAATAAAGAAGTTTTACGTGTTGAAGGTACAAAAGTTAATAATCAAGAAATTCAAATTAAATTTTCACCAGCTAATGTTAATCTCAAGTAAGATAATAGAAAATTTTTTTTTTTAGCTAGAAGATTTAAATAATCAAATACAAAAAAAAGAAATATAAGTTTCTTTTTTTCTCTCCTGAAATAAGAACATTGAATCTACCGTTATATAAAAGACATACATTTACTATATACCTATATATATCTTAAACATAGCATTTGAACTATAATGGTACAAGAAAAGAAGGAAAAAGCAAATTTAATGAATCACACTATAATGCATATCCTATCTATTAATTGATTAAATATTTTCTATTTCATATTGATAAATTAAAATTTATATTTTTAGATTTGAATGGGATAATACAACAGTAGTTACACTTAAACAAACAGCACCATTACAACGTGATCTTTTATCAATAACTGTTGATCGTGCAAGAATTCGTCATTATTTACCATCATTACGTAATCAAAATCGACCATCATATGATATTGATCGACCATTTGTAAAATCACAAAAATCATTAGTTGAAATAGCTTTGGATTCTAATATATTTCTTTCACTTTCACAAGCACTTGATAAAATAGGTTCACATAATGGTTTATATGGTTTAGATACAATTAAAAAATCATTTAAATTACAAATAGGTGATGCACCATTAACAATTTATAATGTTCAACATTGGAAAACACATGAAGAAAATAGTCAATTACCAGAAAGTTATTCTTTACGTATTGTTAATAATGCTAATGCAAATTTAGTACAATTAACAACAAATAAATGGAATGAAGTTCGTTTAATATCAAAACTAAGTCATTCATTTGATGGTGGAAAAACTTTAACAACTGATTTAAAACTTGATAGAAATTATGCACATCAAGTTGGTTCAGTTTATTTTTATCATAGTTTTGGTTATCGAAATGTTGAAGGAGTTAAACAACTTCGAGTAAGAAAAAATTTAAAAAAACGATTATATATGATTTTATTTTTCTTAATAGAATTTTACACGAAATTTTGTTCGTGGACATATATTACAAGATTTAGATAAATCAAATCTTGCTGGATTAATGAGAAGTTTTCGTTTACGTTTACGATCAATTTTGGATGTAGATTATAATGCTGTTAAAGAAATTGTTACAGCATGGAATCAAGAACCAGAAAAGAGTTTTCTTCGACAATGGTCGTAAGTAACAAAAATTAAAATTAAAAAAATTTATTTAAACACGAATGAATTTATTCTATCCTATTGATTGAGAAGTTGTATTGTTTATAATATTTTGACTTAAAAAGTAAATGACACTTCACATGAACGCAATGTAAAGTACAATATTCAGTCATTTTTACACTTAGTATATGATCAATTTTGAGAACTTGCTGTGTATATAAGCGATTTGCAATCTCATTGTACTGTTCGTGAAAAAGAAAAGTTCTACATTAAAATGTTTTAATCCACTGATTTTGTTACTATAAGTTAGGAGAGAATAAGAAAAAAAAAATTCCCTGACTAGCACTATAAGGCGTTGAATATACACAAGTTTTTGGAAATAGTCATAATCCTCGGGATCATTTTCCTAGAAATCATTAATAATTAATATAAATTAAAGGTGCGACATAGAGTTTGATAGGTCTCGGTGAGATGAATTCAATGGCACATATTGCATCGCTACTACACCTTTATACCAATTTCTATAGGCAAAAACGTTATGATCATTGCAATTAAAACGCATTTTGGCTAGGTTGGCAAAAATTTTCACTAGGGGAAAAAACAAAAACTTCCGAATTTTACATTTTTTTTTCGTGATTCTACTTTTTATCAAATTTTTATTATCTAAAATTATAAATTATTTACTTTAGTACTCGTCTTGGTTTATCAGAATTCTTTGCTAAATATCCAACATATGCTGATGCATCTGATCGTGTATATGCTATACTTCGTGAACGTGCTAATGAACGTTCAGAATTTTGGCGTGGTCGTTTTGAATCTATTCTTAATGAAAATCGTCTTAAAGATTTATCTGAACGTGTTCAAGCTCGTCGTTCAGCACTTATTAAACGTTTATTAGATCGTGCAGAAAAAGTACTCGATCGTTTATTACCTAAAGTTGATCAAGCTGAAATTGATAAACGTATAGTTAATTATGTTGGAAAATTATTAGCAGCATTTGAACAAATATCTAAACGTGCTACTGAACAAACGAAAGCGACATTTAAAGCTATTGATGATGCAACTAAAGGTGAAGATAATAAATGGTTTCGTACATTAGTTGCTGATATTGATTCAGTTGCATTAGCTGCTGCAGCTGATGCTGAAATTACTAAAGCATTTAAAAAATTAGGTGATTCATCAAAATTATTTATTGGTAATATTCAACAAATATCACGACGTATTACAAAACGACGTGAAGCTATTCGTGAACGTGTTAAAAATGCTATTCGACATATTCCAAAAGTAAATTAACAGATTTTTATTTATTTATTTATTTATTTATTTATTTATTTATTTGAATAAAATAATTTTCTTGTTTTTTATTTAAGGCATTTCTTAATAATACAAATTTTGAATTATTAGTACCCATTGGTCGTCAACCAGGTAGTTATGTTGGTACAAGTGAATTAATACTTGGTATTGGTAGTCTTCTTCGAAATCGTGATCAAGCATTTGATACAATACGTTCAGTATTACGAAATCGTCTTGAAGCACGTTCAGAAACATATCAAAATTATTATAAAGCATTACGTTCACTTGCTAAACGTTTATTTCAACGTAGTCCATCATTAACACCTGAATTTCAAGCTGTTATTGCTCAAACTGGTGATGCTATTGATTTACATGGTCATTATGTGTATTTAAATCCAGCATGTGATTATTTATTAGCACATGATTTTGCTGATTTACAATTTTCATTTCAATTTGTTAATGGTAAAGTTCAAACAGTTATACCAAATCAAGGTGATATAAAAGAATATGATTGTTCAAATACTGGTCGTGTTCAAGTTTGTAATCATGGAACTTATTATACTCTTAATGTACCTATGCATTATGGTTTGTTTTGAAAAAAAAAGCAAAAACTTTTTTTTTTGTATTTTTATTTGTTTTTCTTTTTATATTAAAATAGGTGGTCGTGTTGATGGTGCACTTGGTGATGTACGTGATCGTAGTAATAAGGATGATAATAATTTAAGTCGTTGGTCATTACGACAATGTTCAGCAGGAACAACTGATCAAATGAAAAAAGATGGACAAACAATACCAGAATGTGCTAGTGATGATGATGTAAGTTTTTTTTATTAGTTTAGTTGTATTTAATGAATAATTTTTTTTTTTGTTTTAAATTAGGATGAACAAACATTTTGTGAAAATTTTGTTCTTCGTGGTTTAAAAGCTGGAAAAGATAAACGATTATTACTTGCTCAAGTTTCACAAGCACAAAAATCATTCGTATAAAGAAGACTGTATATACCAATAGAATGGGAAAAAAATAAATAGATTTCTTTTTTTTTTTTTTTTGTTCTTCTTAGCGTCTTCTTCATTTTTTTTTCTTTTACTGGTCTGGTTATTCTTCTTATATCTGTAGTTTAATATTTGTTATCATTATCATTTTACACACTTCTTATCTTAATCTTTGCAAACTTGTATTACCATAGAATTCAAATAAATTCTTTTGAAAAATGTTGGTAAATTAAAATAATTATTCTTTTATATGTAGAAATAGTTAAGAATGATTAAATCAAAAAAGTTCAAGATAAATACGAAAAAAAGAAATCATTATTTAAGTGAAACATCAAGAAATGTATAATGTTTCAATAAATTGCAAGAACTTAATTCATGGGTCATAACTCTCCAGAGTGTTTAATAACACCATCTTATTTAAAGATAAAAGCTAGTAGATGTGATCAATGGTTTTAACTCTGATTGTCACTAGAAAATTTCAATAGCATATAAATAGTTTTACACTAATTCTAAAAGATTTTTTTAAATTGGAAGACTTTTGTAGGTGTGTTGAGAAAATCATATTTTTACAGAAAAAAATGATAGAATACTAAGCTACTTTTTTTTTATCGAAAAAGATTATCCATAGAAGACGTCGAGAAAAAAAGGGGTGGTCAGCGAAAATCGGATTGGAAAAGGGAGATATCAGACACATCTAGACGTCTGAACAGAAATTATGGATTTTCTTCTGTCATTTTATAAAAATATTTTTCACGAAATTCTCAAGTTAAATTGGTTTTGAACAGCATTTTCAAAAGCACAGCTTAATAGCCCTTGATGACCTAAGGGTACTCCATGTCATGCTCTTGGGACTCTCCTCCTTATAGTCTTATTTGACCCTGCACAGAGATACCGACAGACACATTATGCGCAAAATCAGGTAAAATGAGACAAATTTGTTTTTTTTTTGTAAAATTCGAAGCTGAATTGCGGGAGTTTAGCGTAGTTACAATTTCTGGTCTTCAGTTTATGAATAGTTTGTAAAAAATGACGCCTATTTTTCGTTTTTGTGTTTGAAAAAACTAGAAAGCCCTATTTCATTAAAATTGTCCTTATATTACGCAGATTTACTTGCCTTTTTCTCAAAAAAATCGGCAAATTGTGTCAAAATCCCTCTCCTTGATAATCAAGTTTTCTGGAAACCTAATTATAATCTAAAATAATTTGTTAATATGATTTACGAAAGAATTCACTTTGTCGAATAAGAGTCCTAAGTTTCAGGATAAATGAGTAAACATTTGAACAGAGATGAATGGATCAAAAATAGTCTATTCGTATTCTGTCACGTCGCTAACGACGAGTAAAGCTTAGTTTTTTTGAAAAAACTACACATGGTCGGAAAAAATTTTGGATAGAAGTCCGACAGCCTCAATAGTCGTCTACAAAATGTACTATTTAGTTTTCAAAACTATCTCCTCACTTTACAATCTTTTTTAAATTCAAATATATACAGTGAAAACTGATGTCCTTTTCAGGTCACGTCGCTAATGCTAGGTTTTTTTTGGTAATAACTCCTCTCAACAAATATCTCTAGGGCTGAAGTTTTCAGGGTATATAGAGTAACCTAACATACATATTACGTATAAAAATCAGCTCTATGGAAGTTCATTAATAGAGAGACATAAGTGTTTTAATTTTGCGAAGGCACAACGCTAACAAATGATTTTGCCCATATACAATGGTTTGCAAAAAAACTTGGAACAAACTGACAGTATAAATATTTTATATTTTCTAGATTCCCTTGAGCATTTATTTTACTGTTATTGTAGGTTTAGACTTACCAGACTATCTGCTAATAATATTTGTATATTTGATTAATTTCTATTTTGTTGCTCTTTATTTATAACCTGACATGGTAAAGGTAAACAGACTAAAAACACATTATATTTCTGTATTATATTATTGGAACATGGGAATTCGTTCTGTCAGAAAAATCCACTGAGATACGAAGATACCATTGTCTACAATTAGTTATCAGTTGAAAAAGCTCCGAACTCAAGATTCTCTACAACATCGAGCAAGCAAATGATTGAAAATCGACAAAAATTTCATGTTTGAGATTCTACCAGTTATCATGGAACAGTTGGTTTTCATTCATTTCAAAATATTAGAGCAGTGATTATTACATCAAAATATAAGGAAACAACTCGATTTCCAATGCTAAACGACAATTTAATAATAAATGTCGAGTTCAACAAGATAACGACCGCAAGCATCGATCTTCAACAATTAAAAGATGGTTGGTTGCTAATGTTCCACTTATTATAGACTGACTATTGAATAGTCCGAATCTCAATTCGCTTGAAAATATGCGGACCATTATGAAACATCGGATTGAAAAAAGAAAAGCAACAAATGTTAATGAGGTGAAAATTTTTATCGATGAAGAATGGAAAAAAATTGAAAAAACTGTTATAATCAATTTGATTAACAGCATGAAAAATAGATGTTCCTTAGTTACTGAGTAAAAGGGAAGACGAGTTAACTATTGAGCTGCATATTGTAAAACTGTATATTACTATGTATTAAATAAAGAAATATTTTTTTTGAAAGTAGTTGAAATAGGCGTCAATATAGACTAAAAATTTGTTCCAAGTTTTTTTGCAAACTATTGTATATATATATAGATTACACTCGTTAGGACAGTCGGTGGAGCTATAAAAAACATCCATTATGATCGAAAATGATTGAATTTCATATTGACGAGGAGAGAAAAGTAGTTTTTTGTCGAATTCTGGATTAAGAAGTGAGAAATGATGATTTTCAATGATTATTTTAATACTTCTCGTATGAGTAGTCTATTAAATTGTGATAATCATCTATATACACCAAGAAAAAATACAATGAGTACATAGATTTAGAAATCTTAATGAGAGCAGTTCATATAAATAGTATAATCTTCGTCCATCATCGAGAATGATGCAATTCAAACCCTTCACTTATTCTCTGGGCAAAAAGAGTAATTTCAATTCTATCGATTTGTTCTGAAATGAGTGTCACAAATCGACACTGTGGAAATGAACTTTGTGTTTTGCTGTATTGTATACATGGCTCTTGTTCATTATCGAAATAAAATCGAAGAGTTATTTGAAACTATCATGTCCTTTGTAAATAGAGACACAATGCAACATGAAAATGTTTTGTATTTCATCCAATTAGTACTTTCGATTGAATAACAACAGCAGAAGCTATTCAATCACGTCGTGCTAAGGCTAATGAGGTGTGAGTGTCGATACATCTCTTCTCTTCATACAACCGCTCAAACCAGACCTCACATCCATACCTTATTTTTATCAGCTAATAAAAATATCACCATTTACTATTGGATATGATTTTAGTTTTTATATGCACTGATGAATAAAATTACCAAGGAAACAAATGAAATATTTGAAGTATTGATTGAAAGAAACTAGCTATTATAACATATTCGAACATAATATTTAGTCCAATTATCAACTAGAATAAATATTTTTCGTAGTCTGTAATCAATAAACATAAGTATTCGAAAAGATCCTTGACAACGAACATAGCCGTGTTTGCACGCACATACAACCTTATTGGTATTTAGTAATACATGACTAAAAAGTAACACCTTGAATATAATTATTACTTGTACATGAAATACTTCATGAACTATGTATTTCATTTTTCAAACTGTTACAAGCTTTGAAAATGATGAAGAAAAAATTCTTTTTTTCGATAATTATACAAATCATCAATTAAAATGACTTTTGTTGTTTTTTGATGAATAGACATGATATTAAAATTATCAGACGAACAACGATTTGAAAATCAATAAATATTTGTTTCTGTATAAATAAACGATATACAATACAAATTTGGATTCTTTTTATACGAAGTATCTTTTAGTGAAAATAAATTTAAGTGTAGAAGAAACTGGAAAAAACCGAAACAATTTTCATGATTCGATACTTTTAAAAGCATAAATATTGAAAATTATTTACCTATTGGAAATTAGTGAAGCGAAACAAAGTCATGATATTAACAATAACTTTTTTTTTCATCATCTTCTGACTATAATAAATTATTCATGCAAATCAATGACAGAGTTTAAGACTGTTTCGATTTTTATACTAAACTATATATTTAGACTGTTTGAAAAAAATCAAGCAGTTTGCTAAATTCTCTTCTATATTATTACAAAAATCATTCATCAGCTACATAATTCATCATAGAATCAAAATCTCGATAACTAACACGACCATCACCGTCGACATCAAGTTGTCTAAAATTAAAAGAAAAATATATTTCATTAATAAAAATCAATGAAAGAATTATCGAATGTGAAGCATACTTGAATGCAGAATCAATTGTTTCTGTTTTTAATTTAATATTAATACGTTCAAAAGCACGAATAAAATCTTCTTTAGTTAAAAAACCTTTACCTAAATGAGAGATTAATTTTTCTTTTTTTTGTTTTTGTCGATTTTGAGAAATAATTTTTGTTTAAAAAATGAAAAAAAAAACAAAACAAAACAAACTTTCTTACATGTTCGATCAAGAATAAGAAATGTTTCACGATTTTGATCTTCACGATCAATTTGATGATTATAACTATGTACAAAATCAATAAATTCATCCAATGTTAAACCTTAAATAATCATCAAATAATTTTTTTTTTCATTTCATCAAATTTTCTTACCTGGATGAGTTCGATTCGGAATATTCGAAAGTAATCGTTCAATTTTATACTTAAAAAAAAATCCAGCAATTATAATCATTATATTTCACATTTTTTTCAATCTTACTTTATCTAATTTAATTCCATAAAGTCGTATAGATGCTACTTTAATATCTTCTCGATCAAGATATCCTTTTCTTTTTCTATCACATTCATGAAAAAGCTAGAAATCAAAACAAAACAAAAAAATACCATATACTAATTCACATTTATTTTCAAAATCTAATCTACATACTTTTTCAATATCGTATTTATTCATAATAAATTTTTTAATCTACAATCAAAAACAAAAATCTCCTTTCTATCAACTGATATTGGAAAACTAAAATTGGATACATAAATAGAAAATTAAATTATCAATATAATTGCATAGAAAATAGATCATAAAAATTAAAATGCAAAAACAAAAAAAAGAATATTGCCATAATTATATTTTCTCTTCTTATGATTGACGATATTTACTCATTTGTTTACGACTATTAATTTCTGTTTGTTGTAATAAACGATAAATTTCATATTTATCTTTATGAAAATCAGCTATTTTAGAATCGGGCATATATATTTGAATTGGACATGCTATCTTATTTAATAAATCTTCTACTTGATGTGCATTATCAGCTATTAATTGACCACATATTGCGGCACCTAATAAAACACAATCATTAGTTGCTTCAGAAACATAAACAGGCATTTGAACAACATCAGCCATTATTTGTGTTAATAATGCTAATCGTGCTAAACCACCACAAATTTGTACAACACGAAAATGATGACCAGATTTAGTCATTATTTCAATTATATGTCGACTATCATAAGCAACAGCTTGTAATACAGTTAAATATTGTATTGCTAAATTATTTAATGATGTATCAAAACGAAGACCAGTTATAGTAGCACCTAATTCTGAATCAGCTAATGGTGAACGATTACCATGAAAATCAATAGTCATATGTAAATCACTACTTAATAATGATACATTACTAACATTATATTTTTTTTGTAAATTATTTAAAATTTCATTAAGTATATCAAATATATTTTTATTTTGTTCATCTGCTAATTGTTTTAATTCATTATAAGCGGGATGTATTTGTATTATATGATCAATAGATTTTCCAGCTGCTGATTGACCTCCTTCACTAAGCCATAGATTAGGTATAAGAACATTATAATGTGGACCCCATACACCAGGAACAAAAACGGCTTTTTCACTACATGCCATAAAACAACTTGATGTACTAGAAATAAAATAAAAAGGACAATGATGAACATAGAAATATCTTTTTTGTTTTTTGTTGTTTTTATACCCTGCAACAATAACCAATCGTTCAGTGAGATGAGCATCGGCTATTGGAGATTTACATGCTAATCCACCTAATGCTCCTGCATATGCATCAATTAATGGTGAACCAACATGAATACCTTCTGGTAAACCAAGTTCATCTGCTGCTTTTTTACTTAAAACATCAGTATTTGAGTTTGAAAATGGTTTACGAACAAGTCGACCTAATTTTGCACTATTATTTTCCATTAAATCATCTAAATCAAATTTAGCCCAAAACTTTTCATCCCATCCATGTTGTTTTTCCGATGAACGATAACATAATTTACATACTGATGAACAAAGTGATCGATCTAATTGTTCCGTTACACGAAAATGTAAATAATCCGGTAAATCAAAAAAATGTCGTGCACGCGCCCATTGTTCTTTAGATAAATTACGTTTAAGCCACATTAATTTTCCTGGTTGCATTTCAAGGCTAATTTTACCACCAAAATTTTTTAAAACATCATCCGAACTTGAATTTATTATAGCTGCTTCAGCATGTGCTCGATGATCAAGCCACATAATTATATTTTGTTCGTCATTACCCGAAAGAGAAACACTAACAGGTTGATATTTTTCATCAAGAACAACCAGAGAACATGTAGCATCAAAACCAATTGAACGAATAAGTCCTACTTGTTCAGGTGTAAATGATCCAAGTTCGAGACATTTTCGAACACAATAACATATTGCTTCCCAAATATTCGTTGATGATTGTTCATATTCAAGTGGAGCAGACGATGAATGATATGTCTATAAAAAAAGAAAAATGCTATAACTAATTCGAACAATAAGATTTATTATAAGAAAATGATAAAGTATATCTTTCATAGATGTGATCAAAACAAACGAAATTATGCATGTTCACATTTTCTTAAGCGATTGGTAAACAGTGTCTGTATCATTCATGTAGAACTCGAAGAGTAATTATGATTATTCAACTATTCAGCTATTCAATCATTCACTTATCCAACGTTTCAATTATTCAGCTATTCATATATTCAATTTTCGACTATTCAGCTATTCAGCCATTCAACTATTCAACTATTCATCCATTCAACTATTCAGCTATTCATCCATTCAGCTATTCAGCTATTCAGGTATTCAATTTTATAATTGGAATATTCGAGTTTTCAATTATTGATCTGAAAGAGAACCTGTGGTGGTCTCCAGGGGATTATGAATTCATCTTCATGATTTCTCTGATGATCTCCATGAGGTCCTCAGGGAGTTTTGAGGAATCTCCAGGAGATTCTGAGGAGATATTCAAGGTATTACTAGGAAATCAGGATGGATCTCCAAGAATTCCTCAGAGGATCTACTGTAAATCCCTGAAGATCCCCTAAGCATTCACTGGAGATTTTCATATGAACTTTGGAGACACCCTAGGATTCCCTGGCGGTCCCACAGCATATTCTGGAGTTCCCTTAGGATCATCTGAAAATTGGATAAGGATTTGTTCAAGATTCTCTGTGGATCCCTTGATATTAACTAAAGATCCGTGAAGATTCCCAGTGATGTCGTGAAGAACGCCGAGAGACCCCTTAGAGATCTTTTGTGGTACACTTCAGAATGTCCCGAGAATCCCTGCGAAGGCTACGTATAACGCTCAAGAGTCAATTTTCGAATACTAAGAAGTTGGAATGCCGATGCTTTGTTTAGATGCATAGTTAATTGGTAAAACATAGACGGTTGAGTTTAAGGACTTCGAGCACGTTTCTTTTTTAACCTCACAGAACTAGGTGTGCGTGCCGCGGAACACGAATACGCGCCAAAGCACACACACAAAAGGCATCGCACCAAGTTTCGATGCCATGGGATAGCTGAAAACTCGAATATTCGAGTTATTAAGTTGAATAGTGGAACTAGAAGTTTAATAGTCATAAAGACTTAATGACTTCTACACTACTGGTAAATTTAGGATAGATTTAATTCATAGAAAATTATATTTACTAACAAACATCTCTTAATATCTCACATGAATCGGTTTTTGCCATTGAATAACCGGCACCCATTTATCATCAAAAATCGTACAACGAACACTTCCTGTTCCAACATCAATACCAATTGCATAAGACGATGATGTTGTCATCTAAAAAACATTTCATAAACAATTTTATTTATTATATGTTTTTTTATGTTGTTTTATCAATTGAATAATAATTGAAACAAAAAAGAAACTTTTTTTTTGAAATGAACAAAAAACAAACACAATACAGAAAATTTAACTTGCAGCACTCAACATATACACATTATCACAAATACTGGAATAAAAGTTTAATGTTTTAAAAAATAAATATTGTCAATAACACCTATAAAATTAATGATGAGTTTCATTAACAAGATATCAAATACAAATATTAGATAAATTCTGAATGTATTTATTTATTAGCTTTTCTAATATATTTAAAATATGAATAAAGAAAAACTCCGAACATTGTAAAACATAAACCAAATATTTGTCGTATATTAAGTGGTTCATGAAATATAAATGAACCAATAAATATAATTAATAATGTTTTTGAATGTCCAATCATATTATATGCAACAGCTGATAAATTTCCAATAACCCAAAAAATACTAAAGTTAACAAAAAATGCAACAATACCACAAAGTAATACTAAAAAAATAATATCATATGTCATAAATTTATCTAAATCAGATATCGGTTCAAAAAATGGTACAAAAAATAAAAGTAATAAACCAGAAAGTGGAGCTTGATAAAATAATAACTGTAATGAATCGCAATTATATGCTTTCTGATAATATTCAACAAGTATTTGATACATAGCAGTAAATACTACAGATGTCGCAGCACCTAAAATAAATAAGATATAGATTAAAAATAAAAAGCAAAAAAAAAAGTAACAAATTCAATATTTACAAAAAAGACCAAATACATTAAATTGTAAATCATAATAAGTACTAACTAATGTTCCAACAAAAACCGGAATAAATGACATGACAATTGGTAATGAATATTCTGCTTTAAAAAATAACCAACTGATTATCATCACAGCTAAAATAGACATAGAAATTTTTGCTATTCAATAAAGTTAAATTCTATCAACAACAATTTAATTTCAACGTAAAACAATATTTTATTGAGTAGTTTTCTTAATCAAGTATTTAATTGTGTATCGTAATGCAAGTTCATCAATCAAGATATATCTTCTGCATCTTTTTTTTGACATATCTGATAATATATATTAATAAACTAAGGTCTCAGATGTTGACTAACTTAAATGTTGAATTAGACTTTTTATAAGTTTTCTACATATATGAACTAATTCAATGAAATCTTTTTCGAAAATATGAAGAGAAATAGTTTATTGTGTACACAGAAATTAGAAAAAATATAAACTTCAATTATTCACTTTTAATGTCTCTGTTTATCGATTCAAAATTTTTAAATTTTTTTCTGCTCTGTATATACTTCGAAATGCTGCCTATCTATTGAACATAGTTCAGGAATTAATAAACGACTGTAAAAGACAAAAAATTTAAGAATATAGAACATATTCATTGAAAAATATAAAAGTTTTCACATTATTTTGCTTGTCCTGAAAAAATGAGTTTTTTAATAAAAAAAAATGCAGTATGTTCCATTGAGCTGAAATTTTTTTTCTACCAATACTAGAAATTGTTTAGAGTATTTACTTGTTTTATTTTTAAAGATTATGTACAACTATTTTTTGTCACAGTCAAAAAAAAAACTCCAGTCAGCAAAAAACATATATGATCATAGAATTTTAATATTTTTATTCGAACAAAAAGAATCATGTATTACATACATCGTCTATTATCTATAAATAAATATTTGGTTCTACGAGACGTAGTCCGTCTGAGAATGGAGGATCATCACAAGCGTCATTTTTAGCTCTTATGAGTTCAGTATCTTCTAAAGGAAAATATTCGAGAATTTTGAATCTATGGCAAATTTTATTCTACGCAATTTTCTGATGAGTTGTTCCTCAGTAAACCTCAAAAAGCAGAAGACCCTTTTGAGTTTTACTGAACTTCTAATTATCTAATTCGGGAAAAATTTTATATTTTATTTCGAATTGATATCAAGCATTTCAATCTTCATTAATATTCGAATTCGAATATAACAACTCATATCATAAGTATAGTTGAAAATGATAATAAGTCTATAATTTATTCACACAAAGAAAAACAACTACATATATTGTTAATAATCAATCTTACAATCTAATTGAAAGGTCATGCAGTTGATATCAATTTTTTTTTCTTTCATTTTTGCTTATATCATTTTCATCTCTAATCGTTTTGCAAACAGCATATTATAGAGTTCATCATATTTTAATATAATTTATTTCAAGCATTTGATTTCAAATAAATCTTTCATATTTTTCATAGACATTATTATTTTTTTGGTAACTAATACATTTTTACAAATATGATTAATATAATAATGATGTGTTGGAAAAATATCGGAAAAAGTGATGTCTCCAGTAAATGGTGACTCTAATTTGTTTTTCTTATAATTCTACTAGTCTAGATTTTTAATGAGTAGTAATGATAATGAGTAATACCTGATATAAATTAACTAAAAGAATTAGATAAAGAACTATTATATAACGAAAATTCTTTTGTCATAGCTGCAGTTGTTTCATCTTTACTAGATTTAATTGAACCAAAACTTTTAGCTATTTCATTTATAAATTCGCATGAAGGAAAGACTTTATTCATAGCAGATGAACATATTTTCAAATTGAATGAAACAACGACTACCAAATATTGGATATGTATACTTAATCATTATTCAGCTAAAATTCATACAAATTTAAATAGTCAATTCATTAGAACGGCTGGAGATAGACAATCTTAGCGAACGATATTATGGCAGTTTTATACATGCTATGAAACACTTAGATGGTTTATCATTTACAGTTACCAAAGGAAAGAAATGATACATTATCAATTTTGTTTTTCTTTACTTATATATAATCTCTGTTAGAATGTTAAGATTAACCCATATAATATAATATATCCTTTGCTAGTCGGAATTCTCTAAAACATTTATCGACCATTTCTCATGTCGATATTCTTTTTTTTTTGATTTTTTTCCCCTGCGTTCTTTCGGCTTTGTTACAGCCAACCAATATAATATATTTTTCTATTTAATCCTTATATTAATAGCTCCTTTGTATATCTAACATTGACTTAATAATACTTCAATATACATTTTTTTTTCTGTACAAGGTAAATCGGCTTACCTGGTGTTACTTGCAATTTAATAAGTTGATATGTACCCACAGTGTTATATTGAAGTGAAAGATTACTGAATGCAATAAAACCACCAAAACATATTGATACAGGAATCATATTAAAAATTGGTAATTTAACATAAGTAAAGATTTTGGCTTGCATACAACCAATTAAAAGAAAAAAAGTAACAAAAAAATTTAGTGTTGTTAATGTTAAATTAGGAAAATGATGTTTAACATAAATCCTATTAGAAACAAACAAAAAAAAAGAATAATTAATAAATTTTCTTTTTATTCTTTTATATAAAATTAATCAAATAATAAAATTTACCATTTAGCTAAATTAATAACAAGAATTGATGAGACAAAATTTATTGAAAATATAAACGTAGACCAGAAACATGATTTAACAACACGTTTATTACCAGCTTGTTGACCAGATTCATTTATTGATGATGATGATGATGAATCACTTCTTATTAAAATACTTGATGATGATAGTTTATTTGATAATTTTGTTGACATGTCAATTGACAGATCTTTATTATCGACTGTTTGGTCTTTTAGCAAAGCATAAGAACCAGACATAAATCTAATATGTATCTTTAATAAAAAGAAATATTTATTTTATAATTCAAATATATGAAAGAATACTAATCTATTCTTACTTTTTCAAAATAACTATTTTACATAAACTACAAAAAAAAAAGATATTCTAATCATGCAGATCTGCATATAATACACGCATACATATTACATGGCACAAAAAAAAAAGAGAAGAACAAGTTAAATGATATTTATTACCTATAGAATAGTAAATATTTATCAAGAACAAGTATTTTATCTATTATAATCGATATTATTAAAAATATCATTTTGTATGACTAAATCTGTATTTTAAATCTTATTTAAAAAAAATACACAAAAAGAACGACACAAGCAATATTCAACCTATGATGTGTTATTAGTCGTCTTCAATAATATCCGTAGTTATATACAATACACGTAGTAGCTGTATTCACGCATTGTACTTCTTTGTATGCTGATCATTGATTGGTATCTTAGAAACGAAAAAGAAGAAAAAAAAGGCCAAGTAAGTAAGAATGGAGGAAAGAAAAAAAAAAGGAGGTAAAAATGAAAGAGAAGCAACGACCGCGTTTCAAGGTCTACGCACAACCAATCGACTCATTATGACCGATGTAGATGCTAATGCATTTCGACGCCCTTCTAAATAACTAGCTACGATCACTGCACCCATTGACAACAATTGGCCAACGATCATTAAATAATATGAATAACAAAAATGTGCAGTTATACGAGAAAATGCTACATAACTCATCACAAAAAAAAATGTGCCCAATCCCAATGAAAAAATAGATAATAATGAAATAAATCGAACAGATGGTGGTACACGATAATCAATAATATCAAATATGAAAGTTGATATCAAACCAATAACAATTAAAAATAATCCTGTTAATGATAAAGCAGCTGGAGAACGCACAATAGAATGAAAACATGTCAAAGGTTGTAAATGACAAAGTTTCCAAAATCCAGCTCTCATCCGAATTGTATGTATCCAATGAGTCGTACTTATAGAAAGTACAACAAATATAATTGCACTTAAAGTTAATCCAATAACAATATAAGCAAGAATAATTGTTATATTCGGACGAGTTAAAGGCATTGTGTTAGTAGAAATAATTGACTGATGTTGTTGTTCACTTGTGCAACAATGAAAGTAATAAAAAAAGATAACGATCGAACAATAGAACAAATAAAAAAAAAGAGAAAAACGAAGTGTAGTCTAATTGAAAAAAAAAGTACATTGTGAAATTTAAAAAAGAACAGAATTTCCTAAAAAAAAACTACAAAGACGTTTTCAGAATTAAAAAATTTCACATAAGTTTCGTGTACAATATATTTTATTTCGAGTGTATCAAAGAAAGCATAGTCAATGAATATAAACAGATAATATCAATCATCTTTTTCAGTATCAATAAAATGAAATCCAAAGAGAGGAACTGTTCTATATTTTTACAAATAGTACGAATAGAAATATTCTATAATCAATAACTATGCATTAAAAGTAATACGATCGATATTTTTCATAGTTGACAGCTGAAACATATGGATAAAATGAATCAACAAAAAAAAAAAAAAAACATCAATCAATATATGAGAAGTATTCTACAAGAGTAGTGTAATGGATACAAAAACGAATAAAATAAAAAAAAAGTCAAATAAAAATAATGTTGAATTTTATTTTAAGTTATTAAATCTGACCTAATACAATACCGAAAAGTTGTTTACAACGAAAACAAAAAAAATATATATATATATATTTGTTTTGATGGACTAATTTTTTGCATCTGGCATTTCAATATTGAGATTCGATGAACTAGTATTAAGATCAATTGAAAGAAGTGATATACGATCACTATCGCAATAAGATTCTATTGAATTATTATTTGGTTGATTTATTGATGATTTTCGAACACGTTTTCGTATTATTTCACCAATTAAATTATGTGTTTGTTCTTCAGCATCATATGCAGTTGTTTCTTCATTTCTTGATTCAAATAATATCATTGATTTATTATCAATAATCGAAGGACGGATAACTATTGGACTTAATGATCGCCATACATCATCATGATGAGTTGTATCAATAGCTAGAAGAAAAGAAAAAAAAATAATAAACTCAATTTAATTAAATAATACAAAAGAAATAAAAATTTTTTCACCATCAGTTATTGCAGTATATTCATTTGATTGTATTCGATTAATATTATTTAAATCATGATTTATTAATGAATCTAATCGATGAAGTGTTGATCGTCTTTGAAATTGATTTGATTGTTTTTTAAATGATGAAACTTGATCATTTTTTGATATTGACTTTCGATTAATTATCATTGTTGTTGATTTTGGTATATGTTTATCTTTAAAAGAATTTAAATCATAATCTGTTAATGATGAACGTCGTCGTTGTCGTCGTTGTTGATCATATATATCATTATCATCAAACGAATATGTTTGATGACGAAATGTATATAATGGATCTTGTTTATCAAATAATTGATTTGAAAACATTTTTTGAATCATTTCATGTGTGCTCATATTAAGATCTTCTAAACGTTGTAAACGCCAATCAAGATTTTGAAGGACAGCACGATTTTGACTTTCACGTTGATAAATATCATCAATACGTAAAACGGTTGCATCGACCCTGAATAGATAAATATCAAAAACAAAAAAAAACAAAAATTAATGTTTTATGAATAGAATAAGTGACAGATAGTTTATTCAATCAAGCATGAGTAAATATGTATGTTATTTTTATTAACTATGACACATTTTAATTACAATCATTTTTAACGTGTCGAAATATCTATTGATAGTTAATAAAAAAAAATAAAAGATATTTGTAAAATTTTTTTTCTTAATAATCAATGTCGTACTGATTTAATATTGAGTCTGTTAATAGGCTTTTGATTATGATAAATTTTATAGTTTTTAGAAGATTTTATTGCATGATTTGATGAATTCACCTAGTCAATTCTACTAGAGTTTTCATTTTAGTAAAAATGAAAAAGTTGCTTAATGTAATCTCAACGGGATTAAAATATGAAACACGATATAGCTGCTATTATTAATCACAGGGAAATTGTTTTATTCGATCTATTCTCGGGCATATTTCTTCATCTTCTTTCTTCAGAAATGCAATAAGGAAATAGTTTATATATTATAACGAGACATTATTGATCCAATATATACCCTTTCTTTTGAATAGGTAGGAATACGAACTTATCCGCTAATTTAGATATCGTTCATTTAATATTTGTGATATAGTTATTGTGTATCACAGATCTATATAAGCAGTATAGAGTGTACAAGATCGATGCGAAGTATAGAGACTAGTTAAAAGATGTCAACCCCTTCAGCCATGTACTCTGTTTATGGAGCTGCAGGTCCAGAAAAACGTGGAACCGAATCCGGGTCTGAGAGGATCCGCAACTCCCTAACATAGGCCATGAAACGTTTTGAATCTAGGGTAAGTTCAATCATTTTTGTAAGATCTTTACTAGAAAATTGAGAAGAATGACTTTTTTTAATCCCATTCAGATGCAAGACAGTTCGTACTTCTTATTTCGAACTCATATTTTGTACTATACAAAGCTGATATAGTTTACAAACAAATTTGCTACTTGTATCGAAAGAATTTATTTGAAGCATCTAAACTTAGCTACTGAATGTGAAGAAAACTTTTGGCAGGTTTTAGTTTATCTAACTCGAGTTTCTCGTATAATTTTTCTTCATTCGTGGCAAACGAGTACTACCTCAAGTGACCGGCAAACTAGGGCTTAACATTTAGTAATACGAAATTCAATGTTTTTCTAATTTTGCTTCACTATGCAGATATTACTATTTGCAGTCGATAAATATTTGAGTCTACTCTTTTGCTTTGTAAAGGATGTCTTCTCAATAGAGAGTCTCTATTCGAGTTCAATAGTAGTTTTTCTTTTATCTATCTCAAAATTTATGTTTTTATTAATATTTCAAAAATTTTTCTATTATATTTATTTACCGTTCAGATGTTAATGCAATTTGATCAGCAGTTGTATTCTTTTTTTCTCTATCTTTCATTACAAAATATTCATCAATTTGTTCTTCTTCAAAATCATGTATTTCAGTAACTTCTTTTTCACTTAAAAATAATTCTAAATAAATAAATAAACAAACAAAAATTGTTTTTTTTTTTTTTTTTTGGTTCTAATTTTATTATCAGAATACAAACTTAATCCATGATCAACTTTAAATTTTTTTCCACGACAATAACGTATAATAATTTTAATTAAAAGAAATATATGTGAAAAAAGTATTAATGGTGGTGGTAACATTGGTTTTGATTCATATTTAAGTACAATATAATAACGATGATATTTCCAAACTTGATCAGATGATTTTGATATACGTATATATGTATTATTAAATGTTGCAATAAGTATTGAAAGAAGTAATATATTACAAAATATAAGATATGCTGTCATAGTTATTGGTGTTATCCAATGAAATGGCATACATTGTGGAGCATTTGGTTCACTTTCTAAACATGGAGGATCAATTGAACCAGCATAAACTTCACCATAAATCTTCAAAAAAAAAAAAAGAAAAGAATTTTATATTTTATTAATTATTAGAAATTTTTTTTGCTATTTTACCATAAAATATGGTTCAAGAAATATTTCTTTAACTGAACGCCATGTCCATGATTCATTTGGATATTTAATTGCTTGACGAGATACTCCAAATGATACAAGTACAATAAGTATTATGATTATAAAATTAAATAAATCGATTAACTAAATCAAAACACAAAAATATAATAAAATTTGCTATTGAATATCTTAACTTACATTTTGTGCAGCAATATGAATATATGGACCAAGAGATTTATGTATAGAAATATAAGTTAATAAATGTATCCACCAATAAGATACATCAAGACAATAGAGTACACGTGCAATATATAAAGTATTTGGATTAAATCGAAGTATAAATCCAATACCATAAACCAATAATGCTAATGAATCACATATATGAACAAAATCGGAAAAATACAACTAAAATAGAAAAAAAAAAATACATTTTTTTGTTTTGTTTTAGAAGACAGAATAAAATTTAATTTTATAAATATGGTGAAAAATCAGTTAATCTAAACATACAAAATAAGATAGAAATTTGAAAAGATTTAATTTAAGTAGTGTAAAATTTATATAAAAGTTTTAATTAATGTCATAGGAATGTCTTTTAATGCTTTGATTGACGAGAAAAATACTCTAACAAATAAATCACTGTTGAGTCGACACTATGTACATTATGTAGATCCAAATGAGCTATGAATACTCTGAAAAGAGTTTGTGCCCTTAGCTTATTGCTAAGACGATATTGCATTTTTACGGTATTTTTTTTAATTGAATGACATGATCTCTCTCTCAGGAACACCAGAAAACTGATTTTTGAATTTCAACTTGAAACTTTACAGAAAGATTAGCCTTAACAAGAATAGTTTATTGTTAGTGTTTCAGATCTCATCGTTGCTTCTATCCCAAGATATAACTATGACATGACATTCATTTAAAAAATATAGTATCTCTGTAGGATTTCAATAACGCATATAGTCTCGATTCAAATGCGATTTATTAGTTGAAAGATTTTCCTCATAAGATTTCTATTTAAGAAGTTTACAAAATCAAATCAATAAATGATGATACTTATATATTCTCATCATTATTGTTGTTTATGCACTACATGATTAAATAGAAATCAAAATTAGAATAATTTTTTCATTAATTTATCAAAAATTCTCAAAATTTTGTTTTTCTATATTCAAAATGAAAATCTTAGTTCAAATTTTTATGGATCTTTTCTATATCAGAGAAAGTTTTCTTTTTTTTTATCCATGTGAGTCGTTCTTGAAAAACTTCGGAAAGAGAATGATCTTAGAATATTAATTTACATACATAACGAAATGATTTGTTTTATTAGTTATCATTTTTTTTTTAAAAATTTTTCTTACTGTTAATCGACGTATAAAACGTGGTGATGAATTTGTACAAATCTAAAATGAACAAAAATAATTCAAAAATCTAATATTCATATAAAAATCAATAAACCTCTCGAATTGTATCAAGTGCTGATGATGCTAAATAAATTGTTACAATATATTCTAAACAAAAAAAAAAACAACAATGATATTCAATATCTTGAAATTTACAATAGAAAATTATCGAAAAATAATTACCTGCAATACTCGGTTTTGTTGGTGTACGTATAAGTATCATATAAGTAAAAAGAAAAAGAAAAATAACATAAAATATAGCATTATACCAAAATTTTGTTATTGGTGCATTATAAAATTCATAAAAACGTTGTGTTATTGGTATTGATGATGATGACGATGATAAAGTTTTTATAGGTGAATTTTCATTTGTCATAGGTAATTCATCGGGTTTTTTTATTGTATCAATATTAATATCATTTATATCATCAGTTTGTTGTAGAGGTGTTGATAAAGTTTGTTTCATATTTGGTAATGATGTTTGTCTATGATCAATTATTGATTTATTAAATGTAATCATTTCAATTGGTTCATTATTAATATGTTTATTTTCAAAAATAAATTCAACTGATGAATCATTATTTAATTTTGAAGTTTTTTTACTTTCATTGTCGTCAATTATATAATGTTGTGTTTGATCATTAGATAGAATTCCAGAACGATAATTTTCACTATCATTATCATCATCATCATCATCATCATCATCATCATCATCTGGATCACTATCATTTTGTGTTGCTAAATGTTCTTCATGTGTTTTAGGTTGTAATTTTAATTCCTCAGCACTTTTAAATTCAATACGAAGTACAAGTGGAAAAAATAATATTGAAGCAATAACTTTCCAATTAAGATAATGTCGTATAGACATACCACCCATCCATAAATCATTTAATATCATTTGACAACATTTATGTGCTACAAATTCTTGATGATGAGAAATAACAGCTAATGATAAACATGTCCAATCAGACCAATTTTTTAATTCATATGTTAATAATTGACATGTTTTATCATTATTTTCACGATAACATTGTTCAAGAACACCGAGACCTAATTCACGAAATTGACTAAAAACAAAAACAAGAAATGAATATATGAAAATTATTGAATAATGATCACTTCAATATTTGATGTTAGAATTTTTATAGTAAAATTAATGCTCTTTTTTTTTTCGTAAACAACAGAGTTGTTGAACATATAAATGTGCAGAATAGATGAAGTATTAGGGAATTAAAAAATTTTTTCTGACCGAAATCAAAAACGATTGATCCCACTCATTACTAGGCATCAGTGTTCACTGTCGCACTGAAACACATCGCTACAAGCAGGACATATTTTGATAGAGTTGATATCTTAATGTTGCAGGGAATGCCAATGCCAGTGGACTCTGTGTTGGTGATTCACTGTTAAGTATTTACACCAATATTGCAGATCTCTACTTCCAAAAAACAAATTTCTTTATGGTGAGATTTACTATGTCAGCTAAGAATATTTTATTTAGAGCGAAAAAAATAGTTTTCAGGAATATGAACTTTTTTTTGAATAACTCTAATGAAAGTAATTCTTTTGGATTAATGAGTTAACACGACTTTCTATTATCGTAAAGTCATTATAGTTCAACCTAATGAAACTAGAACTTTCATATATATATATATATATCTTGTTTTAAGCCTTTTCTGCTAGAAAAAACTGCGAAAAATCTTTTGGAAGGAGAACGATCGCTCTAAATCCGCTCTTACTTCTTGTAATATTAGGTTTTAGATCTTTGTTATATTGAGCTGCTAAGTTATGATAAGCCGAAGGTCAAAAAATGAGTGAGTTTGTTACCTGTGAATAATACTGATTTAGTTTCAAATCAAATATCTAAAAATCTTTTATCAATAAATTAAATACAGTTTGTTTTGGCTATACAAATTTTCAATATTTTATTAATTTTATGTTAGACAAAAAACTCAAACAGTTTTAATCGAATGAACTTTCGATATATTTAAGATTTATTCAACGATAGAATAAACTAGCATTAAGTATCTGCAAATTGAAATAAAGGAAGATATATCTTATAGTGTTATATGACATTGTCAATTCGATTTCAAAAACCCAATAAAATACACAAACTGTTGAAATAATTACTACTATCCATTTCAACATAGAAGACGAGTGATTGTGAGTTGAATAACTCGGGAACAGAAGCAGCTATGGAGCTACGGTTTTCAGCATTAAAAAGCGGACACCGGGGCACGTAAATCTATGGGAAATTTTCATTGGTCAGTAATGGATCAATAGGACGAAAGTCTGCTGGACATTTTGAAGATAGCTTTTGGAATGCGTTTTTCGTTGAATTTTCAACTTCAATTAAACTATTCGATAGAAAAAATTGTTCTCTTTCGGTCTACATAAGACCGAGCTCCATAGCCTGCTCCGTTTGGTAATTATAAGCATTTTCCTGAGACCCCCAAAATCGGCCAGATGACGTAGAATCACCCTTAAAACCATTACATTATAGGTAATCGACCATGCTGAATTCAGTGATGATGTTTACTTTTTATTTCAAAGTAATCTGAGATCACTGTATCGAAATTTTCAATACATGTGTTCTTTAAGCCAAATAACAGCAAAAACTAGATTTACGAAAACTTTTTTATAATGATCTCAGATTACTTTGAAATAGAAAACAAACATCATCACTGAATTCAAGGTGGTCGATTACCTAGAATGTAACGCTTTTAAGGGTGATTCAGCGTCGCCTGGTAGCTTTCGGGAGTCTCAGGAAAATACTTATAGCTACCAAATGGAGCAAGCTATCGAGCTTGGCTTTATGTAGATCGAAAGAGAACAATTTTTTTTATCGAATGGTCTAATTGAAGTTCAAAATCCAACGAAAAACGCATGCCAAAAGCTATCTTCAAAATGTCCAGCAGACTTTCATCCTATTAGTCCATTACTGATCAATGAAATTTTTCCATAGATTTACGTGCCATGGTGTCCGCTTTTTGATGATGAAAACCGCAGCTGCATAGCTGCTTCCGTTCCCGAGTTATCCGACTCACAATCACTCGTCTTCTATTTTGAAATGGATCGTAATCTTTTTCATTAGCAAAATCATGAAACAGTAAAACCTAGATCAATAATTCATTGAATAATATCAAACAATGTATGGATATCAAAATTTGATAACTCATTTTATGTATATTAATAACTTACTCTGCATAACTAGCCAATTCAGTTGCTACTTCAATTTCTAATTCATCATCATCTGCTTCATGTGCTAATGCTTTATTTAATTTATATGCTACTAATGCTTAAAAAGAAAATTAAATTCAAAATAAATCTAAATCTAATAATCAATCTTTACCTTTCGCCATAGCTTCTTCACCTAAATAGACAAAAAAAACTAATTAATTATTAAACGGAAAACTTATTAAAACCTCGTTCCCAAAAAAATAAAGCCATTTGATGTCGTTTTGTAAGTACTGCCCATATAAGTAATTCATTATATGGATATTGAAATGTATCATCAATTGGTTTTAATGTTGTATTAACTACTATTCGACGTAACTGAACAAAAAACAAAAAAAAAACTTTTTCTAAGTAATTTTTTTTCATTTTTTACTTGTCCGAATGTATTCGGTTGATGAAACATCGTTGCATAACGTGTACGAAAACGTCGTCGTGTATAATTTGATCGATAACCATGACCCATTAATTTTTCAAGAATTAAACCAATATCAGGTAATGTATATATACCTGTAATAGCTGCCTGAAAATTAAGACACAAAAAAAAAGAAAAAGAAAAAGAAATAAGAATTAAATAATTAAATAGAAAATCAACCTTGCGAATTTTTCGTATATCTTTTGCAATATAATGAAGAGTATTAGGTGGACCATCACGCTGGAACAAAACAAAATAAAACAAGTGAATTAGTTAAATTTTGTTTTTTTTGGATAAATATTTATCAATCACAAATTTAGAGATGTAAAACATTGTTATGATTCTTCTTTTTCTATGTATGTTTTTAGAACATCTGGATGTTCAATACTAATACAACTGATTATTCAAGTCACTTCAATTGACATAGATATGCTACTACGAATTGATGATATTAACCGCATAAAATTGGAAAGAAAAAAAAAAATAAACAAAGAAATATTATTTTTCATAATGAATAAAAATCTATTATTTATTATTTTATTCTCGTAGATTTTTTTTTTCTTAGCATCATTATGAAATGATGATAAAATTTTATTTCCGGATATGTTTGTCGATGTTCATTTTACTTGATATGGGAAAATAGATCTATTTTTTTTTCTTTTCGTCTAAAAAAAACGCATTTTGACATGAACGGAACTTGAAAAGGAAATTATATAGAACTTCCGACATGTCAGATCCATTAAAATATGTAACCTTTCAAAATAATATCTAATTAGTTTTTTTTTCTTTTCTTCTAAAATTAAAATATAAAATTCTAATCTTACAGTATTATATAATTCTTCTAATCGATGAATAGTTAAAAATTTTTGCATATATATTCCATTTTCAAGTAATAATCGACAAAATTCAACTTTATCAGTTATTAATGCAGTCATCATAATATCTTCTAATGCTTGTTCCTAAAAAAAAAAAAAATTATTAATAATTTTCGAAAGACAGACAAAAAAAAAACAATGTTTTGTTTTCTTTTTCTCTTACTGGCCATTGATGACTACTAGATAGAATATAATTTCGAGCTATATCAACACGATTCCATGTTAAAGCAAGTTTTAATTGATCTATTGATGATACACATGAACTACGAAGTAAAGCAATTAATATTGATAAATCAATATCTTGTGATGATTCTTCACCAATACGAAATATTGTAATCTTTAAAACAAAAAAAAAATTTTTTTTTTTTGCTTTTCCAATATATTCTATGCAAAAAAAAAATAAACAAAACGTTTTTACCAAATCTCGTTTTTTTACACACATCATTAATTCATGAAAAAGATTATTTGCTTGTTTTTTTGTATACGAAAATGTTTTCATTATAGTATGTATTAATTGTGCTTGAATTTCAGGAGACATTGTACTAGAATAGAATATTTAAATCAATGTAAAATGCTAAAAAAAAACTGTTAATACAATCCCTGGGAAATTAATATGTCAAACACACTATAGCTGCTGATGCTAATTACATTGAAATTATTTTATTCTATCTATTTTGGGACACATTTCTTCATCAATTCTTTTAGTTAATCCTTCAAAAGTGTTATAAGAAATACGGTTCTATGATCGTATATTCAAAAACGTCTGTCACAGACTGTGACGCAACGGCGGCTGGGAAGCGTCTGTCATGATATGGAGGAGATTCGAATTTTTACCTCTATACTTCAACACTCCTTTAAATAACATTGCTCAACTAATGAACGAAATTTCTTTGAGATTTTATAATTTTAATATGAGCAGTGTATATTACCAGTTAAATTTTTAAAAAAAATCTTTAAAGTCATTTTCTCCCCATGGGAGATAGCAAAGAGGTATGTTGGCCATTCCCCATGGAGGAGTATGAATGTGGGTCAAAAATCATCATATATCGATTAGTTCTCTCTTTTACAATGACAATAGCTTCATCACATTTCACATTTTAATTCTACAAGAATTGCGCAAGCAGCTTCTTTTTTTTACCGGTATTTTCATGTGTACAATATTAAAATAATAAGTCTCAATTTTAATTAATATTTGAGTAATTAAACTAGACATGAATAAATGACTTTCAACTAATTATTTTATCATTTGACATTTATTCTATGACTAATTAATTTCTTATTTAAATGTCAACAATATAATACTTCTTAATCGATTAATTTTTTTTTTCATTTTTCTTTTTGCGTTATATTCTATTCAACAGAAAATATTTTCCGTCCTTGTCGTCAAGCCAAAAAAACAAAAAAAAAAAAAGAAAGAGAAAATCTTGATTTAAATAAATAGAGCGAAGAAATATTGCACCCGACATACTCATATTAATTAATCTCTTTCACGATATAATTCAATTTTCTTAGTCGTATTGATTTAATTTTAAAACATTTTTCGTCAATGAATAAAAAATTTGACATACCCATCTTCTCTAACATATCGATGTGTAAATGAAATCAGATCAGCCGCACGACCACTTCCGTCACACACAACAACGGGTACTGGTGGATTATCTGTAACATGTTCTAAAACCATTCGAATTGTATTTGTTCCACCTTCGACAACCACACATACAACAGGAATATTTGAATTCTCAGCTTAAATTAAATAAAAAAAAAAATAAAAGAAATCTTCATTGTCTTTTTTTTTTTTTTTGTTGAAAAATATACTTGATTGTGCATTTGTTTGTTTTAATAGAAATCTTTCAAAACGTTTTCTTAATAAAATTTCACCTCCATATTTTCCACTTGTTCCATTATCAACAAGTAAAAAATAGTAATGATTACTATTTAATGTCGCATTATTTTTAGTTGCTAATGCTTTTGAATGATATGACACAAGTTTCTAAAAGAAAAGAAAATATTTTTTTATTTCTAATTTATTATGCTTTTCATCTTTTTTACATTAACACCAATTAAATTTTCACGTCCTTCAACAACACCCCATGGTGAAATTCCAATACAAACAATATCTGATTTAGCTTTTGGTGATTTAACAAAAAGTGCATCACCAACATGTTTAACAACACCTATAAAATTTTCATACAAAAAAAAAAAATATAACTTTTTTTTTTTCTTTATTAATATTTCATTTTACCTTGTTGACAACCATTTGTTATAATCCATGCACCAGTTGTTTTAGCTGCACGAAAAAGTCCTTTTTTTAAAACACGTTTAAGTTTTGGTTGTAATTCAAAATTTGCAATACCACCATCAATTGATATAACAAGACGTGGTAATTTAAGATTCCATACACGTAAAAATAATTTTAATATTAAATCAGGACGTGTATCATACGAAAGACGAATATACTAAAAGAAAAAAAAAAAATTTTATTTAATATTTATTACTTATTAAAATAAATTTTACTTGAGCTTTAGCTGGATGTGCCATGCCTTCAAATTCAATAATACCAAATGCATTTGTTGGTTCAGTTCTTGTATGTTTTTGTGTAGACCATATTTCATTTTTATTTATTGATAAAAAATTTATATCATGTGATGCTATTTTAACATGTTCATTATGTTCATGAAAATATCGTCCACAACAACAACGTTCAATTTGTTGTTCAATTTTTGATGGAATAAATTTAATACATTCACGTTTTTTAAATGTTCGTTGTATCCATGATACATTATTATCAAACTGATAAATAATAAATAAATAAACAAACAAAAAAAAAAAAAAATAAACAAATTAATTTTGTTCTTGTCAATATCCTACCGATGTTGGTGTGACCATCTTTATTTAGAAAAAGTTTCTGTTTTTTTTACTTTTTTATATTATGACATGAAAATGACAGGATATACTACTGTTGATGATAATCGTATGGAAAAAGAAAGACATCATCATCTCATCGTCTTGCATTGCTCTTGTTATTATCATCGCACACATTTTCTTTTTTCTATGCAGAATCGAGAGAGAGGAGAGAGAAAAAAAGACTGACGATGTTTTTAATCCTATTATTAATATAGATGTCTACGCAGAGTCAGTCAGACATTGATAATGCTTTGAAAATTTTCACAGGAGATAGTCTGTGGAGATTTTTTTTTCTTGAATTATACAACGAGACAAAAAAAAAACAATTGAGGATTATCAATACACACGCACACACACACAAACACACGTAAAGACAAAGAAAAAAAAAGAAGCAATATATAAAATGAAAATCCAACTGGAATGATCTAGTTCATAATCATATAATAAATCTAATGATTTTTTGCTTTTTTCGTTAACGAAGCTGTACAAATACATAAAAATATGAAGATGTTTTCTTTATGACTTGAAAACGCGTACAACACGAACAATATTCGATCGACAAATTGGACATTCAGCAAGTAATTTACCACATTTGACACATGTTACCTAGAAATAAAAAAAAATCATGAATCAATTTATCTAGACAGATAATTATAAAAGTAAAAATATTATCATAGAAAGATTAACATTTTCTCTTGAAAAATAAAAGAACGGATAAAAAGCTTATAAATTCTAAGAATATAATCTATAACGTCAACTAAGAATAGATTAATAAATGCATTCATTTTATTTCTTTATTAAAGATTTATGAACATCTAACATAATCATCAATTCGACAAAGCTTATTTTATAGTTTGTTTATTATTAAAATAAAAAAATATGATTTTTAATTATTGTTTTATTCATTAAGAAAGTAGAGAAGATTAATAAACAAAAAAAAATTTAACTTACCATATGACCACAATCTAAAAATACACAATCAGCAATTGCATCCATGCATACTTTACATAATTCACTATCACTTGCTGTTGCATTATCAAGTTCTTTAGCTAGAAAAAAAAAAAAAAAAAAAATTTTTTTTTTTTTTTTTTTCGCAAATATATTAAATAATTTACTTTTAATTTTTTCATTTTGTCGATCACGATAAAGTCTTCGAACTTTTTCAATTAATTCAGTTTTTTCAACACATCCTTTATAATCAACAAAATTTGCTACTAAAATTTCTTTTAATTCTCGAACATTTAAATCTTCAATATTTTGTTCATTATTTAATTCACTAAGAGATTTTCGACGTGGTCTCTGTTGAGTTGTAGTTGTTTGTTGTTGCTAAAAAAAAAAAACATGAAAAATTAATATTTTGCTAAAAGAAATTCTTTCTTTTTCAAAATATAAATCTATCAATGGTTAACATAATTATTCAAATATTTAAGTTTGATATTATTCCGTTATATATTACAGGGTTTTTTGTTTTCACCCTGATAATGATTCATACAAAATTTTTCGTCCTGTCCCACCCTAAGGACGTGTCAAGACGTCCCCAGGGCTTGTTAACTATGATGGACTCTGGAATGAATTGATAATCGAACGAAAAATTTTAATCGTATTTATAATTATTTAGTACTGATATCTGTTTTATATCATTTTGGAATTCCCCGTGAATGAATAGTCGAAGTCTTTTATTATTATATTTTAGTGCTGATCGAGATTTATTTATTTTTTTTATTTGCTAAATTTTCTTATAATCTAATAAGAGATGTTGAATCGTCTCGAAATTGAAAGAGCTCATATTGAATGAATATCACAGATGTTCTGTAAGATTCATGTTTACATTTCACGCTCCCCTATAGGCAGGACAGAACATTAGGATGTCCTATCTTGATGACGATCTCTATTATATAATTATCAATTTTTCGTTAACTTATGTTTTTATTTTTTGTTCATACCACATTAGAATTAGCTGTCGTTTCATTAGTTGTTGTTGTAGTTCTTCGTTGTTGTGGACTAGTTGATGTACTATTTGTTGTTGTTGTATAAACAAAATTTCCCGGTGATGAAAATGTATATGTAAATGGACCATTTGTTGTTGTACCAAAATTAAATGTTGATGTACCATTTCCATTATTTGTTGTTGTTGTCGTTGTTGTTGTTGTTGTTTGTTGTTGTTGTTGTTGATGATCACCAAGTGCATGATGTAAAACACCTGATACTGTATTTGTAACATAATCTTGTAAATTAGCAGCAAAATGATTCATTTGACTAGCAAATGATGACATTGTATGTTGAAAATTAGTAAAATTCCCATTTTTAGGTGGAGGAGGTGGTGGTGGTGGTGGCATAACAGTTGTTGTTGTTGATGATGATGATGATGAAGATGAAGCACTTGTTGATGTTGAAAATTGATTAAATGTTGTATGAAATTGTTGTTGATTAGAATTTGTTGCTGTTGATGTTGATGAAGTTTGTGCTTGCTGTTGTTGTTGTTGCTGTTGTTGAATAAATAAACGTGTAAATGGTAAATGTCTATTTCGTACAATTAAATCAACAAGTTCTTGTTTTTCTGTACATGTATGATGTGAAATATTTTTTGCTTGTAAATAGCACCGTAAATGTTTAACTTTTAATGCTAATAATTGTTCATCTGTTGTTCCATCACCTGATATTAATTGACATATAAGACATATACGATATGGTTGATTATAATGACGTTCACGTGGTGCACAACTTGTACAATAATATTGACGACAAACTGCGCAACTTTTCTAAAAAATAAAATTTTTATATTTATTAAAGAAAAATTTTATTCTTTTTACTTTTCGTTTAGTTATTGTATATGTAGAATGACAATGTTCACATTGATCATTTGAGGAAGTAGTAGTTGAGTAAGATGATGATGATGGCATTATGTTTAATAAAGAAAGTATTTTGCAACAATTACTAAACAGAGACTTTACGTCTTAAATTTTAAAATAAGAAAAAATAAAACAAATAGAAGAAATTATTTGAATATAATTTATTACCTCTTGAGAAGAGTTTATTGAACAAGTCAATAATTCATAAAAGAATTCTTTTTTTTTTTCTTATATCGGTCAATCAATCAATCTGTCTGACATCTTGTTGTTGCTCGTTTTGTTTTCAACCAATAGATAATTATTGAATAAAAAAATTAGCTTTTTTTTTGTTTTTTTTTTTTATAAAAAAATTAATTTGAAATTTTCTTATGAAGATTTGTTTTTTTCTTTAAGAATCAAAAACAAAAATATATTTTATGTTTTTTTTTTCGAGCGACATCTGTAATTATGTAGGTGTATATAAAAGTAAATAAATCAAAAAACTTCTTTCAATCATACATTTGTAGGAATTATCTAAAAATTTAAAATGGCAGCTCGTGTTAAAGCTAAACAACCAGCTAAAAAACGTCAACAACGTGCAACTTCAAATATATTTGCGATGTTTGATCAATCGCAAATACAAGAATTTAAAGAAGCTTTTAATATTATTGATCATGATCGGGTTTGTTTTAAACTGATGGTTTTGGTTTTGGTTTTGGTTTGCTTATGATTTTTTATTTTATAGGATGGTTGTATAAGTAGTGATGATTTACGAGATATGTTTGCTTCATTAGGTAAAGTTATGCCTGATTCAGAAATTGAAGCAATGATTCGTGAAGCACCTGGAGATATTAATTTTACTAGTAATAAAATAAATTTTTGTATTGTTTAGGAAGAAAAATTTTTATTTTATTTTTTAGTGTTTTTAACATTATTTGGTGAAAGATTAACAGGTTCTGATCCTGAAGATGTTGTACGTAATGCTTTTTTAGCATTAGATGAAGAACGTACAGGTAAAATAAGTGAAGAACGTTTACGTGAATTATTAATGTCTATGGGTGATCGTTATACAGAAGAAGAAGTTGATGAATTATTTAAAGATGCTCCAATTAAAAATGGTCTTTTTGATTATCAAGAATTTGTTAAAATTCTTAAATATGGAAGAAAAGATCAAGATTAAATTATATATATATATATATATCTATATGTACTTTTGTTTTCATGAACAGATATATTTTCCATATTTTTTTTTCTTTCGCTTATAATTTCCATTAATTATTATTATTTTTTTTTTGCTAAATTGATGAATGAATAATATTCGATTTTTATTGAAATATATTTTTTGTGATTTTTAGATCAGTAAAATGAATGAAGAAGATTTCGATCAAGGTAAATATTTTTTGTTTGAAACTAATATAATTTTTATTTTTTATAATAGATTTTACATTTGATGATGAAAAAATGAATGCAAAGAAAAATTCAAAATCAAAAAAAAAAAATAAATCAAATGGATTTCAATCATTTGGTATGTCAATTGATTTGTTTACCATTAGAATTATTTTTATCAAAAACAATAAAATAAAATGCTTATCTTGATATTTAAAGGTCAAAAAAAAAAATCAAAAGAAGATTAAATGCTCGTTAAAATTAAGAAAATCTGATTATTAGAGGCGATTAGAAATATTCATGTTGTTGATAAATTCTTTTAATAAAGAAATTTGAAGTTAAATAGCAATGCTTTATGAAGAGATCATGAATGACCTTTGAACTAACAGATTCTCATTTCCTAGTAGAGTATCGTTAAGTGAATAAGTATATATAAATTCTAAATATATTTTTTGGAAAGATGAATTTTTCGAATAGTTCAAATAAGAAAAAAAATGCAAACCTCCTCTTCCATGATTGTTCATTTTCTTGAATTATTAAATTCTTATTTATCCATGACAATTAGATAAACATTATGAAAATGTTTTTCTTCCGTCAAAAGTTAAAGAGATATTCTATCGAAAACTTCAAATAGCCAACTAACTACTATCACATATTTTACTGACAAAAATTAACGAATTGATAATTTCGTTTGTATGTTTCAGGATTATCACTACCTGTATTCCAAGCAATTATGAAACGTGGTTATAAAGTTCCAACACCAATTCAACGTAAAGTATGAAATATAATTAATTTTATAGAATGTTTTGTTTTTTGCTATTTCTTTTTTTAATTCATAGGCAATTCCAGTAATCTTAAAAAATAAAGATATTGTAGCAATGGCACGTACTGGTAGTGGAAAAACTGCTGCTTTTCTTATACCAATGTTTGAAAAATTAAAAGGGCATGATCCAAATTCTGGTCCACGTGCACTTATTCTTTCACCAACTCGTGAATTAGCTTTACAAACACTTAAATTTACACAACAAGTAAATAAAATTTCTTTTATCAATCTTTTCTGAACATAGGCAATGAATTGTCTTTTTTTGCTAGCTTGGAAAATTAACTGATCTCATAGCAACAGCTATTCTTGGTGGTGAAAAGTAAGAAAATATTCTTTGTTTTTCTTTTTCTTTTTTTTAAATATCTATTTATTGTTTAGACTTGAAGAACAATTTAGTAATTTACATGCTCATCCAGATATGTATGTTAATTATTTTCAATTTAGTTTAAAAAAATAAAAATAAAAATTTATTTTTTTCATTAAGAATTATTGCAACACCTGGTCGTTTTATGCATTTGTGTATTGAAATGGATCTTAAATTAAATGATGTTAAATATGTTGTATTTGATGAAGCAGATCGGTATGTTTTATGAAAAATTTTCGTTTTAACATAATTGAATAAATATTTATTATAGTTTATTTGAAATGGGTTTTCAAGAACAAATCAATGATATAATAAAACGTTTACCATCACAACGTCAAACATTATTATTTTCAGCAACATTATCAAAAATTCTTGCTGAATTTGCTAAAGCAGGTCTTTATGAACCTGAATTAATTCGTCTTGATATTGAAATGAAATTAAATGAAAATTTAAAATTATTATTTTTTCATTCACGTCATGATGATAAAACATCATTATTATTATATTTATTACGTTCAATAATACCAATTGATCAACAAATTGTTGTATTTGTTGCTACACGTCATCATTGTGAATATTTAAAAGAATTATTTGATCAACAACAACAACAAAATTTATTTTCATCCGTTACAATTTATTCAACACTTGATCATCTAACACGAAAAATTAATCTTTCAAAATATCAAACAAATAAAGCACGTATATTAATTGTAACAGATATAGCTGCACGTGGATTAGATATACCATCACTTGATAATGTTATTAATTATCATTTTCCTGCAACACCAAAATTATTTCTTCATCGTGTTGGTCGTGTTGCACGTGCTGGACGAATGGGTACAGCTTATTCATTTATATCAACAGATGAAATATCATATTTATTTGATGTACAAGAATTTATTGGTAAAACAATAAAATATGCAACAAATAATGATGATAATAATAATAATAATAATAATGATTATCATTTAATATTTGGTAATGTACCACAAACAATAATCGACGAAGAATCAGAAACATTAAATAAACTAATTGAAATAAATGTTGATTTAATAAATTTATTTACAGTACAACAAAATGCTTATCAACATTATTTAAGAACACGACCAACATCATCATATGCATCAATTAAACAAATGAAACAATATCATAAACAAATTATTAATATGTCAATACATCCAATATTTAAACAAAATTATCTAGCTGATGATTTAACACCTAATGTACTTATACAACAATTAAGATCATTTCGAGCAAAAAATGTAAGTTAAGATAATCTCATGTGAATACTTACGAGGGAAGGTCACCAACTATTCAATCGCTTTTGAATCGAAATTATATGCATTATGTAGGTCCTAATGAGCTATGAATACCCTGAAAAGAGTTCGAACCGCTAGCTTATTACTGTTGAGATACTGCATTTTTACGATATTGCTAAGCAGAATGTCGTGATTCTCCTCTGAAACATCAGCAAAATTGAGTTTTAAATTTCAACTTGAAATTTGGCACAGAAATTGACCTCGATGAAAGTAGTTTATTGTGAAAGTTTCAGATCCTTTGGTTGTTCCTATTCTGAAATAAGAACATCGGAACCTGTCGAGGATATACGAGCAGTATAAAAAACGCCCTTTTTAGCCGTATCTTAGGATAGGAACAACTAAAAGACCTGGAACTTTTACAATAAACTACTCTCATTGAGGTCTATTTCTGTGCAAAGTTGCAAGTCAAAACTTGAAGCTCAGTTTTTCTGGTTCCTGAGGGAGATCACGACATTCTGCTTAGCAATATCGTAAAAATGCACTATCTCGACAATAATAAGCTAATGACTCGAACTTTTTTCAAAGTATTCATAGCTCATTAGGACCTACATGATGCACATAGTTCCGACTCAAAAGCGATTGAATAGTTGGTGATCTTCCCTCGTCAACCTTGTAATTTTTAATAAATATCATATGATTGACAGTACTCGAAGATGACATTTTCAATTTACTAGATGAATATATATATATATGTTTTTGATAGATACCTTATATTTTTATGCTATGTTGACCTTTTATGAAAGTAATAAATACTTTTTTTTCTCTCAAAATGTCATACTTATAAAATACTCATTGACTTCGAATTTTCATTAATTTTGTTATTTATTCATTGAACTTCTAAAAATTTATTCTACTATAGACAATCTTCGAAGTAAATCCATCTTCAAACAATACAGCAAGTGCAATGATGAAACGAAAACGAGCTCATGATGAAAAACTTATTCTTAAATATGATATAAAAAAAGATCAATTATTAACAGAAATTAATCATGATGATCAAACAAAAACACTTGAGGTTTGAAATCAAAAACAAAAAAAAGAAAGTTAAATTTTTCTTTTAGGTTGATAATTTGACAATAACTATTCAAGATCCAAATGAATTAGATGATGATAATAATAATATAGAATCACCATGTAAAAAGAAGAAAAAAAATCGACGAGATGTTGATAAAGAATTTTTTATTCCCTATCAACCAGCTGATTTTAAACGAGAAAAAGGGTACGACAAAAAAAAAAAAAGAACAAATTTGAACTTTATTTTTTTTTTTTTTATAAATTTATAGTTTGGAAATTCAATCATTTGAACATCAAACAAATGAAGCTGTTATGGATTTAACAAATGATGATGGTACTAAAATACGAGGTCCAACTGTACAAAAAACTAAATGGTTTAAAAAGAATATTCTATCTTAATAGATGAATACTTATCTTTTTTTTTATTTTAGGGATCGGAAAAAGAAAAAATTTGTTACAGTTGGTCAAAGTGATTCAAAAACAAAAAAAGTTAAAACAGAAAGTGGTCAATGGATTCAAGCATCTTATAAAACTAATGCGTATGTTTAAGGCATTCACAACTCATTAGAGTCTATATGACATACATAGCCCTAATTCATCAGGTGTTTGAAACTTTCTTCGTAAGAGTATTCTAACGAGATTTTGAAACAAGATAATATACATATAACATTCTTTTGAAATCGCTTGAGGCACTGCTGTCCGGACATAGGAAATTTTCGACATTTAAGCTCAGGTTTCAAGGATGTTCTTATCAACATATCTTCTACTATTATTTTCTCGTTTAAAAATTTCACGCTACTAAGAAAATTTTTCCTTCATGGTTATTAATATACTTTGTTAAATAATTTTGTAATTTATTTTTAGTTATAAAAAATGGCTTAATAAATCAAAAATTCTCGATAAAGAATTACCAGATAGTCGTCGAAATAAATCTGAACATCATATAAATGATGATGATATTTCGAGTGCACAAGCTAAACCACGTATGTTATTGTTTATGTCTTATGGATTGGTTTTTTTTTCTATCATCTATTTGTTTTTTTAGGACAATTTCAACAACGTGTAAAACAATTAATGAATCGACAAAAAACTCAATTAAAAGCTAAAGGACAACAAATGCCAAGTCATTCTGAATTGAAAAAACCTGAACAAATTGTTAAAAAACGTGCTGAAAAACGTCAACGAGAATCATTACAACGTGCACGTCAAATGCGTAAAGGTGGTCGAACGAATTATAAAAATAAACGACATAGTAATAAACCAAAACATGCTCGTCATTCATCTTCAAATACAAATAATTCATCGAAAAGAACTAAAAACAAATAATCTTTTTTGGTTTTGTAATTCCGATTGTTTTTCTTTTTTGTTTTGTTATAAAAGAAAAAAAAAAGAAGAAGAAATCAAATATCATATTGATACTCCATCTATCAGAAACATTGTTTTCATTGGTCAATTGGTAAATAGTAGCATTATGGAGGAGGAGTCAAAAAAAAAATCATTTGATTTCTATAAAAAAAAAAGAAAAACTTTCTTATTTTGTAGATTGTTTTTTTTTCCTAATTTAAATATGACAAGTGAAAGCGAATTAGATGTTATTAAAACAATGGATACTCTTGAAAATAAAGATGAACCAATTGTATCAACTTCTTCTGTTGAACAAACAATAATACCTAAAGTAGAAGATGAAAAAATAAATGTTGAAAAACCAAAACGTCCTGGACGTAAAAAACGAGAATCATCATTAACAGTAGATATGAAAGAGGAAGAAAATTTAGATACTATTAATACTACGGATACTCAACCACTTTTTGAACAACCAGTTATTCTTGAAGGAAAACGTTCACGAAAACCAACATCACGATTAGAATTATCTGATCTAACAACACCAAAAAAAGAATTATCTATTCCTCAGGTAAATTTTTAAAAAATTTATATTTGTTAGTTTCATACACATATACTTGTAATCATAGATAGAAAAATTTTAGATCTAGAACAATAATTATTTTGAAAAAAAAAAAATTGATTAATGACAGTTCGAGTAAAATAAATATATCTTTCGAAATGTTAATTGTCATATATTAAAATTCAATTTTATACATTATAAACAAATCCTTCGAATCATCATTTTTTTCCTTTTCCTATGCATAGATAATTAAATAACAAAAGATATATACTATACTGGAAACACTTTCTTTTTTTTGCTAACGACAAAATTAAATTTATTTATTCTATAAATGAAAAACATCTATTTTTTGTTTGTTATCATTTCTATAAAATGTTACAATTTTATTGTTTATTTAGGGTCATGGAAAACCATTAGGCGAAATTGAATATAGTAAGTCGAAAAAAAAACCGATAAGCGATTTACAAAAAAGATTTTTTTTCTTTTTAATTTAAATTTTTAGTTAATTATCAAATAACTCATGCATCTACTGATGCTTTATCTCGTATGCGTAATATATGTTTTGGTCGACGAGCAGTAAGAATAAATTAAATCTACAAAAATTCTTCTATTTTCTTTTTTCTTTTTAGAGTCAAACTAATATAAGACAACATCTTCGTGAATTTAAAGGATTTGAATTTGAACATGATAGTGATGAATATCAACGACATTTAAATAATTTAATCAAGTAAATTTTTATTAGGTGTTTTTTTTTTGTAAGATAAATTTTCTTTTTTTGTATTTAGACTAAAAAAGGATCAATTACGATCAATTTCAGATATTCTTGGTTTACCAGCAAGTGGCCGCAATAATGAACATGCTGAAAGAATATTAAATTTTTTAATCAATCCAATTGACGAAGGAAAACGAATACCTGAAAGAAAAAAATCAATGCGTCGTACTTCAAAAAAATCAAGTACTAATTCAAAACAATCAAGTTATACAGATGAAGATGAAAATGAATTAGAAAATAAAACTGAAGTAAATTATAGCAAAAAAAAAACACAATCAAATAAACAAATATTATTAATCCTATTTTTTTTTTAGAATGGTAATAATGATAATCGTGAAGAAATTTTTAATGATGAAGAAGATGAACAAGAAGATGATGAACTAGATACAGATGATGAGTATATTGGTAGTGATGAAGAAAGTGTTTTAAATACTAAAGACGATCCAGACGATTTTGTTTATCAACCTGGAAAAAAAATACCGAAGAAAAGATCATCAATTAAACGTTCACGAAGAAGAACTACTCATAAAAGAAAACAAGGTTAGTTTTAATAATTAACAAAAATTTTCAGGTTTCAGGAAAATTTTAGAAATTGGTGTGATCGTCATAACTCACAGTCAATGAGAAATCTTCTCTGTAGTTATATGACAACTATTTTTAATTGTGTAGAGCTCAAGTCATGTTTTTATTATTTCACATAATTCGTATTCTTATAAAATCTTTCTTGAATTCAAATCACATGCCTTCACAGTGGATGATTCGAGTACGACTAACAATAAGGATACATTGAAAATAATTTATAGAAGTTGGTGTATAGACTTTCTCTCAAATGATCTATTATGAAGAATAAGAAATTTCTAATTTCATCTTTTAGTTTGCGAGACATATTATTTGATTTTACTCGTTATGAAAAGAAAATCTATTTTTATAAAATTCTATGGAATTATTTTTATTATCGATATTATTCTTAATATATTGTTAAAGTCTTTAACTAATCTGAAATCTTATTAACTCACGAGAGAAAGTTCTCAAGTGATAGATCACTTTTAACCTTGAATTATATTTAATCGATAGAGTCATTTGAGTTGTTAGATCTTTGTTGCTAAGACATCATAAATTTTGCCTACATAAAAATATTGATTACACTAGCTTGCAGAAAAAACTTCAAAATTTTCTAAGATATAGTCGTTTTGCATGGCTTATTGTCCAATCGATGGATATTTTGAAAAATTCACATCTTGAAAATATTTGATCCGAAAAATTCTGAAATTTTTTCTATAAACTAATCTAATCGATACTTTTATATGAACAAAATTTGTGATGTCTCAGCAGCTCGAACCATTCTAGGCTATTTACTTACTCACCGAATCCTATCGACTGAATATAGCCCTGATTGCAAAGTAATTTGTCACTTGGGAACCATTTGTCGTTAATAAACAAGATGTTTTCTATTTTGTTTTTATTCAGGTGCTTCAACAAAATCAAAACGTGGCCGTAAAAAAACTAAGATTACAGTTGATGAAAAGATCGAGAATGAAAATGTAATTGTACCGGCTGAACCAATGCAAATAAATGATGAAGAAATTAAAAAAACAAATGATGACAATGTTACGACTGAAATAAATGCTGACGAAGCTAAAGTTTGTGTTTTTGTTTTAAATTAATTAATGATAATATGATTTGATTTTAGAATGATAATCTTCAAACTATAGATACAAAATTACCAGAACAAAATGACGCAACCATGAACAAAAATGTTACAGAGGTAAAATTTTAATAAAAAATATTCTACAGAAATTTTTTTTATTTTTTATTTTTTTTCCTAAAGATAATTCCAGCAACAAATTAAAACCACAGACAAAATAGATTTTCTTGCATACTAATTTCTTCTTTTATATCGATTGTGTGATATTTTCTTAGCTGGTTTTTTATTGTTCCGGCCAATATCCATATATATCTATGTATATATTATTCTTGGTAGTGATTTTTTGTTTTGTGTCGGCAACAAAAAACAAAAATTAAACAAGCGTGAAAATATCATCTATGATTTTCTTTTTTTTTTCTTTTGTTTAGTACTTTAGTCCTTTTGTTTGCGTTCACGTACGGACTTTTAATCCGAAAGAAAAAGAACTATACTTGATTTAGACGTTTATTTTTATTTTTATTTTTTGAACATATATGTTGATTTTAAAACATAGTCGAGCACATGTAAACTGTTAATGATGTCTTTTCTTTTTTTTGTTTTTTGTATTCTAACAGTATTCATGTGAATGTCTGTTTTTGTATATGTGTATGTGTATTCATGTAAGTGTGCGTGTTTATTGAAACAAGAAAGAAATATATACATATAAAAATCAAAGCTTGTGTTTTATGTTTAAGAAAACAAAAAAGAATAATTTACTTTTTATTTTTCGATGAAAAATAAGAAGAATGGTTGAAGAAAGAGTGAAATTATGCAATGAACATACATTTCAATGTTCAATATGTTGTAATGATATTGATGATAAAACAAATGTTTATGAAATTGAATCATGTCATTGTCAATTCTGTAAAGAGGTACATTTTAGTGTATAAAAAACAAAATAGATTTCTATAAATCTTTTATTTGTTTTATTTTAGTGTGTACGTCAGTACTGTAACAGTCAAATAAATACAGCGTAAGATAATTTATTGATTTATACCGAAAACAAATAAATATTTTATATGAATCTAATTGGTTTTTATATATAATCTATTTTATCCAGGTCGGTACCAATTCGATGTCCCAATAGCGAATGCAATAATCGATTGTCATTAAATGAAGTATTTCAATTATTTTTTTTTTCTGTATAGAAAAATATTCACTTTATTATTTTTTTCCTCTTAGCTCTATTCTCTACTTACTGATGCGCAATATCAACTTTATAATAAATTATTACTTGATCATGGTATTCTAATCTTTCTTTTTTTTTTCTTTTGTTTTTATTTTATTAATTAATTTAGAGGTGACAAATGATCCACATAGACTTTTTTGTCCACATGTTGATTGTGATCAAGTATTGTCAATAGTTGATGAAAGAAAAATTCATAAAGAACATCCAATGACTTGTACAAAAGTAAGAAAATAATTTTATTTCAATATATTTATCAATTTTTTAATGTTCTAGTGTAAAACAACATTTTGTTTAAAATGTCGTTCACAATGGCATCCACATGAACATTGTTCGGATTTACTGTAAATAAATTAAAAATAAAAGATTTTAAATTTATAGATTTTATTTTATTTTTCTATTTTAATATAGTACACCATATGAAATGGAAGCTGATTCAAATATAAAACGTTGTCCACGATGTCGTTTTCCATTAGAATGGATCGCTGGTTGTGCACAAATAATGTGTGTTAATTGTAAACATATTTTTTGTTGGTATTGTTTAAAATCACTTGATGTATTTATATGAAATTGATTTTTGTTTTATTTATTATGAAATAATTATTTGTTTTTAGAATGATTTTTTCTTATTACATTTCGAAAGTGGACCTTGTCGTAATAGGTATGATATGATCTAACAGAAGTTTTGAAGTGTAAAAGTAATAGTTTATGCCTGTCCTACAGACTGTATATCAATAACACACCAAGGTGATCCAAAGGTTGCCGAGTAGTTTTTGATTGCGAGATAACTTTCAATAGAAAGAGAACTACGATTTTCATTATTGAAAAGAGAAGTCTTGGAAGCATTGAACCCATATCAGAAACATAATATTCATAATATTTTTTTAGGAGATTTTTGTAAAACTAAGGTTAAACAAATTGATTTACTCAAGATGTTTTTCTGCTAGGAACTTCGAGAGGTCAGTTTAATAAAAGTATTAACTAACAACGAAGAGCTTTCATTTCTATAGCGTTTGATAGACGATACTTCGAAACTATATTAGCGACTCCCTGTAATTAGGAATAGCAGCTACACCGTATTTTACATTTTAATCCTACAGGGAGTGCGCTAGCAACTGTTTTTTTTTTCTTATTTAAATTATGTTTATTCTTTAGACTTGGTCATTCCCGTGCATCACTATTTCTTCATCGTCTTACAATTGTTGGTATATTTATTGGTTTAATTCTTTTACTTCTTATAGCTATACCATTTTTAATATTAACTGCACCTTGTTTATTATGTTGTCGTTATAAACAAATAAAAAATCGTTTAAAAAATTTAACAAAATTAGGACAACGTTTTCAACAACAACAATATACACCAACAGCACATCCATCACCATCATCATCATTAAATCAATTAAATAATTCATCATTAATTGATATTGAACAAGAAACAAAACCAATGATTAAAAGTTCATTATTATCTTCATCATTCATAAATATCAATCAATCGAAACCTGAATTATCATCCGTTTGATCTTTCTTGCTTTTTTTTTTCTTATTTCTTTCCTTTTGTGAATATTTTTTTTAAACAGTAATTATTCAATCTTGTCTTTGTTGTAAAAAAAGAAAATAAACATACAGCTTTTTTTGTATAGAATAAAGTTTAAGATATATATATATATATATATATGAAATCTATTGATTATTAAAATCGAAGAAAAGAATTATTCATTTCTTCTTTTTGAAGCTTTCGAACAAAAGCAACCTATTCTTGTTGAGCAACTTCTTTTTATTTTTATCCTTAGCTTCTCATTTAACTTTGCTTTTCAAATCAATCATGCTTGGTTTATTGGTATTGTTATCATCAATAGTTGCTTCTCACAAATGATTAAAATCAAAACATGTGTTCCATATAGAATATCTTATTAACTAATGTTTATAAAGACCATAGAGCTTAAGTAATTCATCATCAGATAGTTCTTTACTTACAACTTTCACGTCTTCAGCAACTTTATCGAATTCACAGCTTGTGACATTGTTGATGACAGTTATGATAAAGAAACAATAAGATTTATATAACCACAACAGATAATATAAGATAAGATATCTTTAAATAATAAACAAATAGACGTAAGTTAAGTTACCACCAGATTCAGCAGTGTCCAAGGACTGAGAAATAGGAATTCCTAATTTGTAGAGGAATTGTCAGAGTAGCTATGATAATTCCTTGGGGAAATGGGAATTGACCATTATTTCCATCACAGTTCCCTCATTCATGAAAGTCAAGATAATGCTTTTTTTGCAATAATTTTCGTACTCATACGTTCATGTGCACAAATTTCTTGATGAAAACGAGTGTAAGCGTAATAAATACCGTGGATATTGTATTTTTTTAATTTTAGCATTCAAGGAAATGTCAGGGAACTGAGTAGGAATTCCTATTCCTCAGTTCTTGGACACCCCTCAGAATTTGTTGTAATCTGTCCGTTTATTTGATATTTTTTGAAAATAAACTTTTCCATACATTTTTCAGAATATAATAGAAAAGAGTTGGCGCTTATACCCCGTCCGTTTATTGTTTGTTCATTTTACGATTTTTTTGTTGGGGCTAGTGTGCTTATATGAAAGCACTATGTCATACGATCAATTTTCTTTGTCTCAGTAAGGAACAAAATAAGGGTCACCTCTATGGAGAATAGGAGCAAATGACTAGGATTTCGAAGTTTCAATTATTGAAACTGGATCTGTGTGCAATATGAGCCCTATATTCAGAATCTCCATTAAAAAATACATTAAAAGCTCCATTTTCAATTGTAAAATATCTATCATCCAAGATTTAACGATACTGCTCCAAGTTTTTATTCTTTAAACTTCTCTCTGGAGCCTCCTAAGAACAAAACTTGGATGATAGATATTTTACGATTGCAAATGAAGTTTTTAGTGTATTTTTTAATGCAAATTCTGAATATAGGGCTTATCTTGCACATACATCCAGTTTCGATAATTGAAACTTCGAAATACTGATCATTTGCCCCTATTCTCCATAGAAGTGACCCTTATTTTGTTTCTTATTGAGACTAAGAAAGTTGATCGTATGATATAGTGCTTTCATATCAGCACACCAGCCCTAATAAAAAAAATCGTAAAACGAACAAAAAATAAGTGGACGAGGTATAACCTATGGGAAAGGTGCCAACTTCTTTGTTTAAACACAAAAGGATAAATCATCACGGTCAGGTTTTGATGAATGTAATTTAGGTGATGATGATGAATTTTTTTATTATGATTTTTTAACATCATCAGCATCAAATAATAAAAATACATAGTAATACAATATTATGTACAATTGATGATGAACATTTATCAAGTCCACAAGATGAACAAGATGATGATACAACAAATGAACCAGATGAATGGGAAGAAACAGAAGGTCCGAAATGTCTTGGTGATATATTTGAATCCGTTACTGGGGCAATATTTCTTGATTCAAATAAATCATTTAACACAATATGGAAAATTTATTATCGTATGTTAAAACCATTTATTGAACAATTTACAACTAAAGTACCAAAATCACCAATACCTGAATTACTTGAACGTGAACCCGAAACTTTCAAATTTGAAAAACCTGAACGTTTACTTGATGGTCGAATACGTGTTACTGTTGAAATAATTGGTAAAGGACGTTTTAAATTTAAAGGTGTTGGAAGAAATTATCGAATAGCAAAAAATGCAGCAGCAAAATGTGCTTTAAAAAATTTGCGCCGTCTTGATTTAATGAAAGATTTATTCTTTTTCAATGAAAAACAAAAACATATTTCTCAGCTATTTATTTTATTGTAATGCAATAGATTGAACGTTTTTGACTTTAAAAAAAAACCAACGACGGAATTTATTAGCATTTTTAAAATTCGATTATTATTGTTTTTTTTGTTTCCGTACTGATAAAAGTGTGTTATATGTTTTTATTCATTTCTCATATATAAAAGGATTTCCGAATATGATTCAGAAGTATTGTTCGTATTTTATATTGATCAAGATGAATTAGTCGATGACATTAGACTACATGCTATGAATATTGAACTTGTGTCTTACCTATAATGAATAGAATAAGAAAAATTGATGGATAAATGTTTAATAACATCATTAAAAGAGAAAAAAAAATGCATATAATGGTATTTTCAAGGGGGAAACAGCGGACTTCAAGACTTCAAGACTTCAAAAGACTTCAAAAGACTTCAACAGACTTCAACCGCAGTGACTTCATATTTTCACAAGACTTCAAAAGAGTTCTAAAGAGTTCTGAAGACTTCATATGACTCCAAATGACTTCACAAGACTTTATAAGACTTCGTATGACTTCATGAGACTTCATGAGACTTCATGGGACTTCAAAAGACTTCGTTAGACTTCACAGACTTCGTGAGACTTCACGGACTTCATGAGACTTCACGGATTTCATGAGACTTCAGAGACTTTGTAGGACTTCTTGAGACTTTATAAGACTTCATAAGACTTCATAAGACTTCACAAGACTTCATAAAACTTCACAAGACTTCAAGTGACTTCAAGAGACTTCACAAGACTTCAAGAGATTTCATGAGACTTCATGAGACTTCATGAGACTTCATGAGACTTCATGA